GGAGGGAAAGTGTGAAATGCCACAACACGAGGCTGTTTCATCAGATCACATCCTCCATGAGGTCGTTCAAGCTCCGATGATCCTCATGCATGTCTTATAGTCGTTCGTATGTGAATCTTGTAGGTTCATTTGGTTCACGTTTTGCTTGTCGGCTTGGCTCAAAGTTGAGGATAAAAAGGACACAAGCGAACCAAAGAGCTCAGCAAGCCCGATCTCCACGTTGCTGATCTCGAAGCTTTCAAGGTACCGTGACAGAGGACCCGATCTGATCTGCTTCAATTGCCGCAGCATGCTCGATAGCATTGGTGGGCATGCATTTGCGACGAGCATGCATTCAGATGCATTCTAATTTCTCAGGCTTAGAGCATCACGATTCACCACCGGTGACCCTGGACTGTCAACGGACGTAAGATGTATTCGACATGTCCAGGTCGTAATCCAGAAATCACGCTCCACCGGCAAGAAAAACTCCCACTGTAGGCCAGCTGTGCAACACTCTTAGTCATGCGATCCAGGTATCTCGAGCTGGACCCTCAGGTTCTTCGGGGTCGTCTGGAACGCATGAGCCACACGATTTGAGCAACTGTGCAACCCATTTCAGCCCAATCAATCATGTTTTTCATCCCTTTCTCTTAAAATATGAAATCGACATATTGTATGTATTACACAAGATGATCCCTGTGGCATAAGATGGCCGCCGTAAGAGCTTGGAGCAAGCATTTCAGACTTGTTCAGGCTGGCCGGTGCTTGTTGTCCTTCCTGAAGGGAAAATACAACATGTGATATGTCATAAATACTGCCCTGTATGATGGGTCAAGGTTCAGGCCCGGTGGGGATGCTCTTATAAGAATTGCCAAAGTTTTGCCACTTTACCAGCATAAAGGTGACATATCATGTTGCGGGCGCATCCTTTTTGAAACGGGCGCGACCAGGCGCAAAAAAGCTCCATTGGATTGGCGCGGGCGCCAATGGGGCGCGCCAGGCGCGCCCTTTGCCCTCAAAAAAGTGGAAAAAAGTAAAAATTCTTCTACATCAACAGAGGCCAGATACACAGGGCCAGCAGATACATACATAGTTGCCAATAAAAGAATCCTAGTTATTGATTGCAAGGTAGAGTGCAAGAGATAACACGGTCAAAGAAAGTCAACTGCGACTCTATACGCATGAGACTCTTACAGAGAGTCGCTTACATTCTTTGGACATGACTCTGTCTGTCAAGTGACAACAGATCCGAGTGAGGTAGACTGTTGAACCAATATCTCAGTATGATGAAGGACACTCCTCAGAGTCCTCCTCAGGCATTTCTGATGGAGATGGGCGGCTGAACTGACAAAAACCCGCGGACAAACCATTGGGCGCGCTGCTACATGGTTTGGAGCTTTGGGGTGCTCCCTGGCGCGACTTTTCCGCACTTTTTGCACTGCACCCACAACATGAGTGACATAATGGTCTTCATTCACAGTACAGTTGCCTCTGAAATAACCCATACCTTTTTATGGACCCCAAAAGGTATGGGTTTCCATAGAGTATGGGCTAGCAAAATTCTCTGCAATAACCCATACAAGCAGATTCATGGGTTATTGCAGTTTTTTTTTTAGAAAGTTGAGGCAAGATTGCTGAGCGCTGCGCTCTTTCATTGCATATGTATTCAAGAGGATTGAGCAAGAAAAGACAAAAGAGTAGGCTGTACTAGAGATTTGGAGTGTGCTGTGCTAAAGGCCCGCGGGGCTTGACAGAGTGCCCTCCCACAAGCTTTAGCTTTGTCGGAATCCTCGTGTCTGACATAATTTGTGACAACCTCTGCAGATTTGAGTAAAGTAGAATACGCTGGCTGAGCAGGCACCTCCACTTCAGAGTGCTCTGTAGCCAAGATATCTGTGCTGTGGTTGCGTTGTTCAATAGCTTCAAAAATTTCCTCCGGAGTCCAGGTCTCGAGGCCCCTCCCATTCTCATTGGTAGGATTCAAGATTTCAGACAAAGACATCATGTTCTTTTTATGAACAATGTTCAATTACGGGATACAAAGTTAAAACTGGGAAAAAACTCCCAGTTTTAACTTTGTATCCCATAAATGAGATCAGCTCTTGAAGGTCCTGCTTGAGATCTTGCTGAGCAGAAGGATCAATTATTGGGTCTGTGTATAGATTGTCAATCTGAATTTTGTTCAGATCGATTGCCTCAAGAGATCCATCCGGCTTGCGGGGAGAGACAATGCCCAACTTTTGAAAGCAGTTTTTGATGGTTGTATTGGTAACCTCAAGCCAAGAGTTTTCGGCATGTTCCATCGCATCAAGCTGGTTAATTTTGTAGATTTGACCGATTGGGACATTGGATTCATACCAATTGATAGCATAACTTATGAATTCCAATTGATATTGGCAATTCCACGAGGCTATGATGCCTGCATCTAGGGGCTGAACATGCGAGGTGAGGTTTGGTGTGAAGTATTCAAGTTGGATACTGGTGAGTTTATAGTCATGAGGTTCACTATGTACTGAAAAGTTGTCAACAAAAAGAACAATTGATCACTGTTCTACTTGAAGCTCCCAATCCCAGTGAGTAATCCACTCAGAGAATAGTGCGTAGGTCATCCAGGCCTTTGCATTGTTTTGGTAATGATATCCAAGAGAGCTGACACTCTTCTTGTTGAAGAAAGCTGGTTGGAGTGATCTTCCAATGATGAAAGGCTTGAGCTTATCAGAACCATCTGCATTACATGTAAGAGCAAAGGTTAATTGAGTCTTGTTGGACTTTGTTCCGGGCTTATTTTCTTTTGAAAGACCTTTATCAGGAGGCATTCTATAGCAATCCACAGTGATACATACATAAGTCAGCAAAGGGCCTCAAAAACAATGATGATGGTGTTGGGTAGTGAGTTACTTACCCATAGAACAATCCCGTCTCATCCATATTGTAGATGTTGCAAGGGTGATAAAGATCAGTGATCTCTCAAACTCGTTTTTGTTTGGCAATGGCAGCGTCTAGAGAAGCTGAAGCTGCTTCTCCATGCTTCTGTCTGTTTTTCAAACCATTCCGTGTCTTGAAGGAAGTCAGCCAGCCTTCACTAAGTTGGAGCCACTTGGATTCTGGAACCCTGAACAAGACCACAAATTGTTGCCACTTCTGTCGGATCACATCGCCAGTAAGGGGCACCCCAGCTATGTCTGCTTGTTGAACCCAAGTTTGAAGGGCCTCAGTAATTTGCGGGTGCTCTGTCTGGTTTTTCCTCTTGATGTTGAGTCCAACACCAGACTTGTATGTGGCTTGCATTTCATCCCGTCTCTTGACCCAACTCAATACTAAAGGTTTTTTAATTACAATTCCAGGGAAACTATTTTGAAAGTGCTTTGCCGTTTTGGTTTGATTTTGACCGTTCTTATCATGCCAGTTGAGGATGGTCATTCTTTGAGCAAGGGTGACATTGCTACAAGAGGACGATTTAGCTAGTTTTGACTTAGGCTCAGATCTAGGTGGCTTGTCTTTCATTTCTGCTGAAGCATCAGTGCAAGCTTGTTTCTTAGGACCTGTTTATATTAAGTTTGATGGGTATGGATTCCAGGAGTCAGCAAAACAAGCCTTGAGAAGATTTGATCAAAGAGAAATGAGGAAGCTTACGTGCTTTAGTTGCGCTTGGGTTAACAATGACTTTGTTTTTGTATTTCAATATCAACAGCTCTAATATCTTGAGCTGCTCGTGGTTGAATTCCTTTGCAGCTTCTGACACACTACCAGTACTTTTGATCTTTTCAACAACAATGAACTCATCTATCATATTTCCTGCATCATCAATGAATTACTGATCAGCTTCAGAGAGGGCCTTCCCTCCACTCATCAGCTGGCATAGCGGAATCATGCGCTGATCATTCTCAGTTTTCAATCTAGTATATCCTTCTTTGATATTTGAGACAGAAAAAATTGATAGGTCATTGGGAAGCATGTTTTCTTTGGTAGATTAGGTGAATATGTGATGAATTGTGTTGAGCTTTGATGTTTGTGTGGAATGATGGAGTCAAATGGCTATGAGAAGATTTGTAGGCGTGTCTCAGGAGTCTCCTGTGCATGTGGTATTTGAATTTTTTTCTTGGGGTGAAGTATGGGTTTTTTGTCTCTGGTTCTCAAAAAAAAAGTATGGGTTAACGGAAATGGTAGAGTCATGGTTTTTGGACCCATTTCCCCCGCCCATAAAAAATATGGACCCAAAAACCCATGGGTTAAGCTAGAGCAAGGGTTATTGGGTGTATGGGTTATTTCAGAGGCGACTGTATGGCAATGTTTCTCGTCAATTCCAGCAAGATCAAGTTATGATGGTTGTGGAGTATTGAATCTGGGAAGTAGTGTTACAAATTCAATGTGTAAAAACTCCACAAAGTTTGCACCAAGATCTCTCTGAAGGCCAAACGGTAGAATTTTGAGCTTCATGTTTCTGGGTTAAAAGCCTTGACAGTATAAAGTCCTTTAACCTGCGCTCCGGACATATAATTTTCCCTCTGTAATTCACAAAAACAAGCCAGCAGGAACATCGCTCAACAATGAAGATCAGGATGGAATGAAAAATTGATTGGGCTTGCCTAATGCATAGTCACGAAGGAAAAGGCAATATGTTTGTCAAAATCCCACTGGTGTATTACATTTATTTTCTACGGAAGGGTATCCTAGATTGATGATTTATACCACATGATCATTTGAGAGTCAGTAAGAAAAAGGAAAAAGATAAGGTAAAAGAACCAGCTAGGATATTCCACTGACCTGTGTGTTTGACATCACTTGGAGGATAGTTGTAGCAAAAGTAGGCATAGGCTTTGGATGAGGCCATCAGTGTTAGAAAGAGGATAATTGCCAAATTCGTGAATCTCATTATTGGGAGGAACAAAGTATGACTCCTGGATTTTGGGAGGGGAATGGTGTGAATTGACAAAAAGAAACCAGCAAAGGCAGCCGAAAGGAAAATCCAACCTGGTAGACTGTTATCAAACAATGAAGAAGTAACCGAACCAACCAACATGGGAGGTGAATTTGTTGAAAACGGGATAGAATTCGCCAATGGGAAAGTCCCTAGCCATCACATGACCCAATTAACGGTGTTCTGGGATAACCGGATTCGAAAAATCAAAGGCTACGTCCCAATTGCGATGTTCAACAAAGCTTGGTTAGAAGCCAACCAAGACATTGAAGGGAAGAAAACATTGAAGAAGAAAAACAAGGATGAAGATGATGATTCAGAAGATGAGAAGTATGAAGGACTTACCTATCCATCCAAACTGCGGCTGACGTATGGAGACTGGGTCATGTGTTTCAACCTATTCTTGGACTACTTAGAGAAATGGTCCCGATTTGAGAAGTTGGTGAGGAAGTTTGAAGAGCACAAGAGGAATGTAGAGAAGGTGAAAAGTGAGAACAATGACAAGTGGATGGTAGCGTTAAGGTATGATATCATGATTAGGAGACAATTCTGGACGACTAGAGTCAAAGGAGGGAAAGTCGGTGACCCATTGGTTTGACAAAAACGAATTTAAGAACAAGCAAGACGTACGGTGGATAAGTTCAGGGAGTGGGACTGCCACAACAACCCATACACCAAGGGTGGGAAGCAACAAGATCAAGCGCCCAAACTGTCAAAAATTGCGGTGAAGGATAAAGAAGAAGTCTCAGAGAAGACGGATAAGAAGGAAGAATTGTCGAAGTGGAAAGAGGACTCACTCTATCTGAAAACCAATAACCGAGGAGGATTCCAAGGAAGGCATGGGCGAGGAAGAGGTCGAGGTCAAGGCCAAGGTCACTATTCTGATTATGATTGGAATGACCGATACAAGAAGGAAGACAATAGAGAGATGAAGTCACAGTACAGAGGAGACAGATGGTCACCAGGGAGAGACGAAAGGTCCAAGTCCCCAATGTGTTGTGGTGATCTATTTATGGTATCAATCAAGCAAATTAATCATCATTACTTCACCAAGTCATTAGGAAACTTCAGTATAGCAGGAAATTCGAAATGCAGGTTTTCAGATCAATTGAAGCTCTTAGAGGCTTATGTATACTTATTAGCTCATTATTATGTCATCTCATTTCAAATATATTCTTAAGATCAATAAAGTTTACTTCCAAATTTATTACAAAAAGAAAGAAAGAAAAACATAAGGAAAATTCAAAAATATAGGTATACAGGTTGGAACATAGTTTTTAGGGTAGTAATAATAAAGTTATGGGTATTATGAGGCTAGAATAAGAAAGAACAACATTATATTATACTGTAACAATTTTAATCTTGAAGGTTGATAAGAAGAAACAGAAGTTATTAGAGAAAAGGTACTTTTTCGAAGTTGGTAAACAAGAGGTATACTTTCAGTTTGCATATGTAATGGTAGTAATAGTGAAATTTAAGGTTGCCAAGAGGATTTTCCGGGATTTTTAAGGCTATAGAGGATGATGTCATATTACATGAGCAATAAAAAGAGAGTAGCAGCTGTGAAAAGTGAAGAAAATGGGAGAACTTCGTCAAAAATGAAGGTTTTCAGCTTATTGCATATCTCAAATGACGTCAGAATAGGTTGGTAGATAGCTCATTCAACGCAGAAGAGTGGATTACATAATTTAAAAACTTTAAGCCAATAGTAGCGGAGGTGTATGTCAAGAGTTATAAGGCAAATAAGAAATTAGTGTGAATCTCAAATTTACAGTCACAAGTCAACATGTAACACCAAAAACCTTAACTTCACAACTCAATATCTTACTCATCACTCATCACAAATAGGTCATATGGGTGTCATAAATGATCAGTAACACGAGGGCTACAAGATGCACTTTAGTAATGAAAATTGGAGCCCATCTGAAAAACTTTGTAACCTCAAAATTTGGTTTTCAGCTAGTTTACAAGGAAAAAATCACCTGTTTTCATTATAAGAAGTGCTGTACATCATATTATTGCGTCATTGATCACTTTTAGCTGTGAAAATTACATCATTTATTAGTAACAGAATCATTACATTGCGTCATCATAGGGTTTTTAGGGTTTTTTGGACGGATTTGATTGGTTTTGAGGCTGTTGACCATTGTAAAAGTTGGAATACATTGCTATATATACTTTGAGATGATTTTGGGACCAAAACTTGAGAGACAATGACAAAAACAAGCGGAAAAGCCTACATGTGAGGAAAATCCACCGAGAGGAGGACGGTCGCCCATGGCCGTGCAGAGTGAGATGTGAAATGAGCGTGGAAGAGTGGCGAAGGCAACTAACAGAAGAGAACCTACTTGAAGAGTACAAAGACGTGTTAGAAGGCTTTCAATACGGCTTCCCGCAAGGGATACCAGACCACCACATAGGAGACCAGCAATGGTTCACTCCTGACAATCACAGGTCAGTGTCAGATGTGCGAGAGAAGATCCGACAAACGCTAGAGAAAGAGAAACGCAAAGGCTGAATATACAGACCCTTTAGCCATACCCAGCTGAAAGAATGGTTTCCATTCTTCAGGTTGAGTCCAATGGGAAGTATGGTAAATGGAGACGGCACCTTCAGAGTAATACATGACCTGTCCTACCCAAGGCAAAAGAAAAACATTCTGTTGGTAAATTCGTTTGTCAACAAAAATCACTTCAAAACCATGTGGGATGACTTTGCAAAAGTAGTCAATTTCTTCAAAGCGAACCCAGGGGTATGGCTATTGGCCATCTTCGATTGGGAGAAGGCTTATCGCCAAATCCCAACTGACCCAGATCAGTGGCCATTCCTCATATTAAAGGACTTTGAGGGAGGGCTATGGGTGGATACAAGAGTCTCCTTTGGTGGAGTAGCAGGATGTGGCATCTTTGAAAGGCCGGCAAATGCCTGGGAGGATTTAATAGAGAAGAAGTTAGTGATCCCAAAAATCTTCCGTTGGGTAGATGACAACATGATCTTAAACAGGCCGGACTCACAAGTCACAATGAAGGATGTGGTGCGCATCAGCAAACAGCTAGGGGTAAAGACAAACAAAAAGAAGTATCATGAGTTTGACTTTGAACAAAAGTATGTGGGATTTATTTGGAACAGGAGGTCACATACCGTAAGACTTCCTCAGAGCAAGTTAGACGAAAGGAAGGCAGAAACAAAAGAGATCTTGTTGACAAAGAAGAAGATTTCGTATAAATAGTTTGAAGGCCTGGTGGGGAGGTTATGCCACACGTTACTAATCCTACCTCATATGAAAGCCTATATGAGGTCCATGCACCATTTTAAGAAGGTGCGGCGAAATCAGTGGATAACAAGAAATTTAAGTGAAGAAGTACGAGAGGACTTGGAACACCGGAACTTCACCTTGCACAACTTCGATAACCTGAGGATCCTACCAGCAAAGACCCCAGTCAAGATAGGATGGTATGGCGACGCATCTAATTTGTACGGACTAGGCTTGATTGTAGGGTCATCTTGGGCAATGTTGTGACTGAGACAAGGTTGGCAAATGAAGTACTTGAGAAGAGATGAGCCAGAGCGGAAGATCACATGGGCTGAAACTGTGGTAATCAGACTTGGAATACTAATGGTCAGAAAGAAGTATGAAACAGAAGGAAAACAGTTTGTAGTACATACGGATAACACTACAACAGAAGGAGTAGTTTGAAACAGAAAGTCAAAGGACAGTACGGTGAATGAAGAATGGAAGAGGATCCAAGACCTACTCATGAACTACCAATGTGACGTAAAGGAGACACGAGTGACATCTGAGACCAATCCGGCCAATTCCCTTTCCCGTGGAGATAATTCAGAAGAAGACTTGTCAAAGCAGATTGAAATCAAGCTACCTCGGGACTTGGAAGGCCTGCTAGAACAAGAATTCCAAAGCAAAGGACCGATCAACGAAAGACATAAAACATCCCAAACCAAAGAACCCTCTGAACTTGGAAGAGCTGAAAACCGGGCCAGGCGGAGTAGAACAAGCTTGTGATAAACAACTGGTGGAGCCCATCACTGGCGGAGGATGGGTAGATGATACCATGAAACTCTATAATTCAGGGATATAGAAGTATGTCAAGTTCAATGAACAGAAAGGAAGACGGCGAGGAGAGTGCTTACCTGCAACAAAGAAATTGGTATATGAGTTTATCTTGTGGGCAAGTGGACAGAGAAACCCCAAGGAGATGTCGAAGGAAGCGGTTAAGGCAGACACTGTTTGAAAGTATATAGTTGAACTGAAGGCATGGCACAAACTCCACCAGTGCGAATTCCCCGACGTAGATGACGAATTTGAGAAGCTCATGTTGAAAGCGTTGAAAAGGTACAAGGAAGAAAAGAAACAAAGGGTAACGGTTCCATTCAAACAAGTGTCAAAGGAAAAGAGAATAGAAAAGGAACTGGTACTGGTATCTCACCTAAAGCAAGTTGTACAAGAGTTAGACAAAGATGGAAACAAGGCAAAAGCAATCATTGCATTTGCCCTGATGGCTTTCTGGCGCCTCGCACGACTTGGGGAACTAGCGTTGGACAAGCCAGACAAAAGAATACCCTTCCTGAAAGACCTTGCACTAGAGAAACAATCAGGAACTTTGGAACTAGCAATTCACAAAGCAAAGACAGCTAAGCAAAACAAAATTCAAATACTGGTGTTGAAGAAACAGCCGACACGTCTAGATCCAGTCCAAGCCTTGGAACGAACAGTGAAGCAGAACCGGATAAAGCAAAATGACCCTCTGTTTTTGCATGTAAGAGATGGAGAAAGGTGGCTGCTGTCAAAGTCAGAGGTAATGAAAACTCTAAATGAAATCTGGCAACGCAATGGAACAGAAGGACCAACTGGCCACTCCTTCAGGGTTGGTGGGGCATCACTGTTGAACTTTCACAGGTTGACGGTTGAAGTGATAAAGCAACAAGGCAGGTGGGCCGGAGACTCATATAAAAGATACATTAAATAAACTTAACAAAGTCCCACGCTCGCGCATCCTTGCGAGGTGTCGAGCAAGGGACTCACGCCAAATGTGTACGCTCCATAACCTCAGAGATCTGGGTTTGGCAGGGAGCTTGCTTCAAGTCCTTATAACTTTTTCCACACCAAGGATTTGGATATAGTCCAAAGAGAAGACTTGTGCGCTGATATCTTGTGCTGAGACTACAATTTTTTTTCCCAAGGAATTTAATCCCTTCTTGCCAAAAATGTGCTTCAAAGATTGGTCTTGGCAGCAAATTTGGACTCGAGAAAGAGGTTACATGTGTAATCCTCTGTTGAGAGCCAATATTTGATGCGCATTTTAGACAAGAGGGCAGCACATTCCTCGGGAAAAAAAATATGTACCTTATGCGCCAGAGTCAGGCGCACAAGTTCTTCCTTTGGACCATATGCAAATCCTTGGTGTGGAATAAGCTATAAGGGTTTGAAGCCAGCTCCCTGCCAAAGCCAAATCTCTGAGCTTATGGAGCGTACACATTTGGTGTAAGTCCCTCGCTCAACGCCTCGCGAGGATGCGCGAGCGTGGGACTTTGTTGAGTTTATACATTAAAGAGTACTCAGAGGAAATGAAGAAAGAAACACTTGAGGTACTACACATGCTAAAGAATTGAGATACGTAATTGAGGCTGTAGATGCAAGTTAAAGTTTGACCGAATGAATGTGAATAGAGTTCAGTTGAGTGAGATCGCCCGTTTGTACAGCGTACAGTCGCGTAAAAGCCGATCAAAAGTTGCACAAGAGTCGTACAAGGGGCACCAAGCACACAGGATGGCTAACTTAACAAAGTCCCTCAATGCCTCGACAGCTGTCATTCAACTTGCTTGAATGACAGCTGTTGCAGCATCGAGGGACTTTGTTAAGTTAGAGAGGATGGGGGCTTGTCAGGACTCTGAACACACTGCCCCGAGAGAGGGGTCTGACAGCTCCCAGCCTCAGCATCGGTATGAATCCCCCCCTCAGGCCTCTCACTTTTGCACAATTACCCAAATGGGATGTGTGACCCCCCGGGTCAAGCAAAACCCTGAGAGAGGCCCCGAGGGCCCCCCCAACCCACTCACCTCTTCCTAGACTTTTGACACAGCCTAGCAAGGACGGCGGGTGGAGGGATTCGCATAGAGGCCCGACAGCACTGTCCATAACCAGCAGAAAGCTTGAGCTCTGAAACCACTTACACTACCCACAGAGGAGTAGACTGGCAGGCAGTCCTGTAGAAGGATGTAGATGCCCACCAGGCTTGAGTATCACAAAAAAACTTGATCACAATAGCATTGGTTGATTCACACACCTCAACAAGGTAGCCAAAGGTTGGATCAGGTCCTTGAACTTGTGGGTCTCACATATGCATTGCAGCAAAAGGGCTTTGTCATATCCTTGAAGAGCCAAAAACACTGTATCACATTATTTTTTTCTCTTCAGAAATACTAGATGATCAGATGTGAATTCCCTTCTATTCATTGAGGCAAAACACAGGCAAGCTAACACACAGTGAATTAGCAGAAAGTCAAGGCTTTCAAGGTCTCTCTGTGTTTGTGGGATAAATTATATGCAATTTGGCCCAAAGGGTGTAGATAAATATAAAGTAGAGTGATTTTACAAGTGACACTTCGCATTCAGCGAAAAGACCAAAAAACTTGGGATCCAAGCTGTGGTCTTGTCTCATTAATTCAGGGTAGTTGAAAGGACAAGCCTTACAAACTTTATTTCTTGGGCAAGCTAAAAAAGAGGTGGGTGGAAATGTCAATTTATCAGAGGTCAAGAGTCAAAAGTCTGTGTATGAAGAGACGTCCGAACCTGTACTTTGACCCAGAACCAACTTTAACAGCTTCACGCTCGCCAATCCGGTCAAGCCATGCCTTAAGACACTCAAGCTTTGCAAACTCTTCTTTGGTGATACCCGACCTTTCGTAACATGCAACCCAACTGATTCACGAGTTTCAAAAGACCAGAAATATGAGAGGCCAATTAGCCATATTGACCTTTGATCAGATACTTGGAAGCTTAGATAGATTAGGGATAACGCCATGCTTGGATCATCTCAACCTTCGAAAGACGTAGCAGATATGAAGTCACGAACGGATAGATAGCCATGTCGGCCCAAGAGTATTTCCCTTTTCCTTTTCCTACCAAGTACTCCTTTTTGACACCTGTGAACTGGCCTGATAGTTGAATCTCGAGTACGCCATATAATCTCAAGGTTTCATCGTGGTAGCGCTTGATGGCGTAAGGAATCTTCTCCGGCGCGTACACTGGTGAAAGACAAAATGATATCACCTCTGAGCCAAGAGACCGACGGTAAAATCACAAGTTGAAAGGAGATGCCACTGACAGTTGAAATGATTGAATTGGCCTTGCATCGGCCCCACGCCAGCCATACCAAAGAAGATCCATTGTAAGGCTGCTGATCGTTCAAGAGGATCAGTGAACCCAAACACATGATCCTTATCGACTTTCTTCGCGAGGTACTGTTTTCAAGAACGTAAGAGTAAATGCAAATGACTAGGTGGGATGGTTGTACGATATATCATCCAAAATGTTCACGTACAAGTAGAATTGCAGCGCTCTCCATGACTGTAAAAGGCAAAGAAGCGTCTTCGAGAGACTTTTGATGATGATCAATCAAGGTAGGAATTCTGCCTGTGCTCATCGATCAAGAGGCGTTCAATTCAACTTGATCAGTCACACATAATTCACAAACACTTCATCTATTCTGATGCTCGGTCATGGGGATTGTGGTACCATTTGGATTGATCTTCAAAAACCAATCCTCCTTTTGTTTGTTGGTTGTGATATCCACAAGTTCAAAGGAGAACTCTGTCTTATAGACCTGTTTGAGTTCTTCGAGTGCGATCTGAACCTTTTGGCCATTGGGCGTGTTCATGGTAACTAAGTGAAGGTCCTTCTGTGAGGCGCGTTCGATGGACATGTTGACTGGTGTTTGGTAGGATGAACAGATATCGATAGAAAAGTGTTCAAGTAATGCAGGATAGATTGGCAAACAGGTGTTGGCAAAGGAGAAATCCTGAACTGAAAATAAATCAAGTGAAGGTCAACAGAGGTCAACAAGATGGAATGTAGGGGGCGCGAAGATGACGTCACGATTAGTCAGCTATTAGTATGTCGTATGTACAAGTTGATCGCCCGCCGTTCTGGCCGCATGTTTTGCACAGTATTCACGGATATCCCAGTTTGAGTTCATGGATTAATGCACTTCTAGCGGAGAGCACTCTATCAAGCTCGCTCTCGCTCAGTACCCAGGGGGAAGGTCCCCGCGCGGACATGAGCAAAATCCTGGACATCCGCGCATCGTCGGATGTCGGAAAGTAACTAGGAACGCGACAAATGCAAGCATCTCGCGTACTTTGAATCTGCAGGAAGATGAGACACAAACAGAAAGGGAAATGCAAGGATATAAAATGATTTGTATGATTTAGAGGGAAAAAGACAAATCAAGGAAGAAATCTTACTGAAATGTGCATTTTCGATGAATGCTATATTGGTGTCTTGATAGTGAAGATTACCTTGTTTTGATGGTACGCAATTGATGCTGGTGGGGGTTTGATATGATGATCAAAGGAAAATTACATTTTTTTTCAGCACCAATGGGATAAGGATATGTTTGGTTGTTGATGCAGGATTGTTGAAGGGATGTTGATGTTGTAATGGAAAAAATGTAAAGGAGTGTAGTGAAGTGGGAGAAGTGCCACGAATAAAGATTGAGCAAGAGTGCTAAGGACAATCAACAAATCAGTGTACTCAAACAATGCAATCAACCATCTTGACTTGGCCTGTGTTTGCAAGCACCCTTGAGACTTTGGAATAAGGCTCAGGAGCTGGAGTGGTTCAGAGAATGATTTCACAGACTTACATCCCCCAGCTACTAGACACTGGCAGACCAGAGACTACCACAACTTTGACAGGATTTCAAAATGGTACAGCCGTTGTAAGATCTATTGGCAAATTTTGAGAGCTTTGTGCCATTGCTAGATTTAATGTAGAGGTCAAAAACTCAAAAAACCCTATTTGAGATTGATAACTCTACTGCCCATTGGTCCACTCTGTATCTTTGTAATCACAACGAGTATGTTACACGTTCGAGATGATAACCAGGTTTTCTCATATTGTTGAGGAACCTCTGGTTATCAAACCTAGATAGTCCCGACGTTACGTCCAGGACTACCAGTGTATGGGTTTTTAACGAAAACCCCCAGTATCTTAATAAACTTTAATGGATTAATAAGATACTAGTACAAGTCTTCTTGTATGTGGTTATTGACGTGTTTATTTTTAGTCAACAATAATCTACTTACAAGAAGACTCTGGGTTCTCAAGAACACACTCGAGAGATTCCAAAGATGGTGATTCAACGGTTGAATCAAAATCTCTGGTTGAGGTTTTATACACCCACTCTCAAGTCTGGAAGCCTGAGCCTGTAAAACCGAACCCCCAAACCTTCTAGGCTTGTGAATCCGTCCAAACTAGTCTCCATATTTTATTTCAAAGTATGCATCTTGAGTTCGTTTAACAAGTCATTTGCTCTTAATAACTCTCTTTCTGAGTAAGCCTTAATATATAGTTTGTATGAGTCTGATTTCCATCGACCAATATCACATATGTCTTTTACTGGAACCCCCAGTGCGAATCATAATGACGCCCCACCTACTCTAAAGGAGTGTCCAGACAATCCTAAGTATCCGCCTTCTCCCCATATTTTTTGACATACTGCTGTGATCGTTGACTTGGATAATAGTTTCCGTGTGTCTTTTTCTACGTAGCTAAATAATGGGTCGTTGTTGCATGAAGTCTGTGCCAGTCTTCTTCGTAGAGCGGCTACTGGGCACAGGATGTGATTTAGTTTCTTCAATTGTAAAATCTGAATTTCCCCTGCCTTCGCTGTTTTTGCTCCTTTTAGATGAATGACCCTTCTTCTTCCTCGTTGTTGAAAATTTTACGTCTTCTCTCTTGATTACTTCTGAAGAATTGTGTTTATGTGATGTCATCTCTCCCAACCGGGCTAAACTCCAAAAGGCGCAAAGAGCTGTATCTAGTATCGCTAGTTCTTTTGGTCCGCCTTTTGATAGTTCTATCGCTAGATGTAACACTGCGCCAAATTGCAAATTTACCGTGGAGTTTAGAAAATTGAGTAGACATAGAAAATTATAGAGAAGCTGGCAAGGGTCAGAAAAATATGAAAAAATAATGGGAGGGCCCTTTGATGCATTCCAATTGTCTGGCATATTTTTTCATATTTTCAAAACTACAATGCAAATAACACTACACAAAATATAATATCTTCTGGGCAGAAAATATAAAAACCAACAAACAGTGATATTGAGCAGTCTTGGAGAGAGACAAAAATACACAAAAATATGCATATTGTTCTTATGGCTGAGACCTTGTATTTGAGTATTTTTTTGTATTTTTAGTGTGCAGATTGTTGAATGTACTAACAAAAAACCTCCAAGTTTCTCAGATTACAACCTGTAACACGGATTGGAATTTGGCCAAGGGGTGACAAGGGGATATCTGGAATTCTATATCCCTCATATCTTTTGCAATTCTGGGTCAAAACACTTGATAGTCAGCTGATTAGGAAGCCATGAAATGCATTTGAATGTTATGTTGATGCATCAACTCTGTAGCTCCGCTACAAAAAAACCTATTTGTCTTTGAAACAATTTCCTATATAGCCACATAGATATTCTTTGGGATTAGATGCAGGTTTTTTGTCTCAATGAAAGATATAGTCACAGAGTTTGGCTTTCCAATGAACAAAAAATCAAGTGGTTTGACCAAGAATTGACAAAGATATAAGGGATTGTTGAATTCAAATTATGCCCTCCAATGTCTGTTACAGGTTGTAATCTAACAATCCTGGAGGTTTTTTGTTAGTACAATCAACAATTCTCACACTAAAAATACAAAAAAATACTCAAATACAGGGTCTCAGCCATAGGAACAATATGCATATTTTTGTGTATTTTTGTCTCTCTTCAAGACTGCTCAATATCACTGTTTGTTGGTTTTTATATTTTCTGCCCAGAAGATATTATATTTTGTGTAGTATTATATGCATTGTAGTTTTAAAAATATGAAAAAATATGCCAGACAATCGGAATGCATCAAAGGGCCCTCCCATTATTTTTTCATATTTTTCTGATCCTTGCCAGCTTCTCTATAATTTTCTATGTCTACTCAATTTTCTAAACTCCACGGTAAATTTGCAATGTGGCGTAGTGTAATAAATGTTCTAAATGAATCGGTTTCTTCTCTTCGGTCTTGGGAAGTTCTACATCTAGCTTCTTGGATGCTATCATCATCAATTTGATCGTTTCTTCTTCTACGCTTGGGAACTTTTGATTATGGTATCTGTGCCATGCCTTCAAGCCGTAAATATATTTTCCTAGTGTAACTGACATGATGTCTTCCTTTGTCGGGCCGTCATGGTTCCGCCCTGCCCATACGCAAAAATTGTATATATTATCTTCTGATGCTGGTAGGAGAAAATCTGCACCTCCTTCATTTTTCATGAATTTTAGAAACTTTTTCACTGCTCCATTGTAGCTGACGATAGTGTTCCATTTCCATACGTTGATTACGTGTCTCTGTCGTTTGTTGTAAGATATTATACCGTCACCTCTACTTAGAAATGGTTTTATTTGATCCAACTCTTTTTCACTTATCGGCATTTTCTAAAGAGGGGTCGACTGTGTGCGATAGAGTGTATAATGAATTTCTTTGGTATGGTTTTTTCTGAAATTTATTGGTGTCACAAAAAATTTTTAGTCTATGAGGATTGCGAAAAAATCTTACTACTAAATATCGTCAGACATCTGAAATCTTTCCTACTCTTTTAGGATTTCTTTGTCTCGTTGCGTATAAGAGCTCTCACTTCCTGTTTCATAGAATGTTCTCCCATAAAACTTGTTTGATGTCTCGAAGTGTTTCATGGTTAGTCTGATCATCCCAAAGGGATCATGGGCTATTGGGTTAGATGGGTCTTTGTTAATGTGTTCAACAATCGTTTTAGATTTTTGATTATCATGTTATATCAGATGATGCAAATGAAAAACAATGTGAGCTCCAAACTTGTGCTTGTCTCTAAAACATCTAAAGAAGTATTTACATAATCTTCTCATGGTTATATCCTTGCCTTACTTTTTCTAAACAGACCTGGAAATTGACGGCGTAAAACTGGGTCTACAGATCCATCATCAACTTTTTCTTTTTGCGTAAAGCAACTTATCAGGTCTATCGGTATCAAAGTTGTCACTCTGTCTACTTCAAGTTTGTCGTGGATGTCAGCTCCTTCACCTCTTGATATGCCATCTGCGTCGTTCTTCTTAGATACTACCCTCTTTGCCACTAGATCTATCTGGAAATCGATGAGAAGCTTTTGATTCTTTTTCCATTCGGAGTTGACTTCAATATCTCTTGACTTTCTGTTCATTATGGCATTTTCGCTCGTGGTGTTATCTGTCCACACAATAAGTGTTTTTCCTTCTAAGTTCCTTGTGGATATAATGTGCCATAGACCGATACAAATTGCGACCGTCTCGAGCCAGGCTATGCCTCTTCTAGTCTCTCCTGAAGTTTCCCATCCTGGGATGAGTTTGAGTTGGAACCACTCTTTGCCTATCAAGACCCCTACTCCATAGCTTGGAGAGGCATCACCTACCCAGCCCATGTCGATTGGTTCTGAGAATGGTATGAGTCGTGTTTTCTGGAAAAGTGACAGAATCCACTTCCACTCTTCTAAATCTTTCCTAGCGTCTTCTGGTAGCTGGCGTTTTGCAAACCTGTGGACCCAGCTTTTCATCCAACGGTAAAGTGATGTTAAACAACATTTAAGTTGAGGTAAGATAAGAGAGACATGTGTTAGGCGTCCTACTAGGACTTCAACTTCGTTGAATGAGAACTTCTTTCCTTGTACCAGAGCTTCTTCTATCTGGGCTTTGCGCTGTTCTAGCTTGCTCTCGGGTAGTCTGACTGTTTTGTTGATTCCGTTCCAAATAAAACCGATAAACTTTTGTTCCTCTTTAAATTCTGAGATTTTTTCTTCATTTGTTATTACACCTAGTTCAAGGCTTCTCTTGACTATGTCTTGCATGACTAAATTTGAGTCTAAAGCTTTGATAAAAAGGGCGTCGTCGACCCATCGGAAAATCTCCATTACTTGAAATTCGTGTTTCATAATCAACTTCCATCCGTCTGCCGCTCTGCCGAACGATCCACATCCTCCTACACCACCAAAACCAATTCTGGTGTCGTAGTATACTCGTCCGTTGTGGTGATCTATTTATGACATTAAGCAAAAAAATTAATCATCTTTACTTTACCAGTTTATTAGCAAACTTCAATATAGCAGAGAATTCGAAATTCAGGTTTTCAGATCAATTGAAGCTCTTAGAGGCTTATGTATACTTATTGGATCATTATTAAGTCATCTTAGTTCAAAAATATTATTAAGATCAACATAGTTTACTTACAAAGTTATTACAAAAAGACAGAAAAAGAAAAGATAAGAAAAATTCGAAAATAGAGGTATACAGGTTGGAAATGGTTTTTAGCTTATTTATAATTAAGTTATGGGTTTTATAAGGTTAGAATATGAAAGAACAACAGTTTATTATACAGGAACAATTTTAATATTCAAGGTTGATAAGGGGAAACAGAAGTTATTAGCAGAAAGGTACTTTTTCGAAGTTGGTAAACAAGGGTTAGGCGTGTAGTTTACATATGTAATGGTGGTAGTAGTAGAAATTAAGGTTGCCAAGAGGATTTTCCGGGATTTTTAAGGTTATAGAAGATGATGTCATATTACATGAGCAAGGAAAAGAGAGTAGCAGCTGTGAAAAGTGAAGAAAACAGGTGAAAATCGGCGAAAATGAAGGTTTTCAGCTGATTACATATGTCAAATGACGTCAGAATAAGTTGGTAGATGGCTCATTCAACGCAGAAGAGTGGATTACATAATGTACAACCTTTAAATCATTAGTAACGGAGGTGTATGTAAAAAGTTATAAGGGAAATAAGAAATTGGTGTGAATCTCGAATTTACAGTCACAAGACACATGTAACACCAAAAACCTTAACTTCACAACTCAATATCTTACTCATCACTCATCAGAAATAGGTCTTATAGGTGTCAGAAATGATCAGTAACACGTGGGCTACAAGATCCACTTTAGTAATCAAAAATTGGAGCACATCTGAAAAAAATCGTAATCTCAAAAATTGGGTTTCAGCTAGTTTACAAGGAAAAAATCACCTGTATTCATCTTAAGAAGTGCTGTACATTACATCATTGCGTCATTGATCACTTTTGGCTGTGAAAATTACATCATACATTAGTAACAAGATCATTACATTGCGTCATTACATGGTTTTTAGGGTTATTTAGGCGGATTTGATTGGTTTTTGAGGCTGTTGACTGTTGTAAAGATTGTTACATTTGGATATAAGTACTCCTTGATGAATTTGGGATTGTAGCGCCCTTTTCTGCATCTTATACCTTTGTTGTAGTGTTATAAATCATCATTTATTTACTATATTTGTACTAAGATCACTTAAATCCGCCCCTTCAAAGCAAGGAGAAATTTATTTACGTGTGTTAAAGACTACAAGTCTAATTAGGAATAATACTTACAACAGTATTGCTAGTAATAAACATAGTGTGTGACTTTTTTTGCGCTTAAAATCTGGGAATAATACTTAACAACAGTATTGCTTTATTTCTCTGGTGCCTTATCTATTTCTCTGTTATCACAAAGTGGTCAGCAAGTGCCCTTGTGCTGGTTTCTTTGAAGAAGGCACTCTTTAGGCAACTTCTACTATATTACACGTAGTAGATTATCCCTTCTTAGGTGTTGTAAAGCTCTTGTTGAGCTTTAAATACTACACCGTCAGGACCTAATATCATCATATACTGTCTTTGATAGAGCATTGTTGGGATTTGCCTGTATGCTTTCTCCCAGTCAAAGATGGCACAGAGAAAAGGAACAGAAATTCTTCTGAAGAATTGGGACACTTTGGCGAAGTCGTCCCATGTGGTCGTAAAGTCGTCTGCCTTTACGAATGAGTTAACAGAGGGGATATCCTGATTGTTTCTAGGAAAGGATAAGTCATTGATCGCTCGGATAGAGCCGTCGCCGTTGACAACTGCACCCATTGGGTTAGTCCGGAAGAAGCCGCATCTTTGATGAACTTCTTCATGCGTAAATGGACCAAAAATTCTTCCTAGGGCGATTTCTTTCTTCATGCTTTTTTCGATTTTCTCTTTGGCTAGGTCTGCAGAGCTGTGGTTGGGAGGACTGTACCATTTGCTGTTGATAAAGAAATGATGGGGAATGCCTTGGTCGAACCCATTGGTGAAACCTTCGATAACATCTTTATACTCATCTAAAATACCAGCAGAGTTGAGGGCTTTCTGCCATTCTGGTATGTTCATTTCGCAAGATACTGATGTTGGCCACAGGTCTTCGGATAGCCATCTTACTTTGTTGTTCTGAGAAGATGCTTGGGAAAGGGCTTTGATGTCTGAGAACAGTGAAGAGTCGTCTGATTCTCCGCTCGAGTGTTTTGAGTCTGAGCTCAAATTTTTGAACGATCTAAAAAGGAGCGTGGTATTTCATCAAAGGGGAAATGGGTGTGTTTTAACAAACAAGATAGTTGAGAAGGGTGACAAAACAAAAAACAAAGATATAAGTATCGTATAACTTTTTAATGTTTTTTAGAAGTTTTTAATTCAACATGTTGGTTTTACAAAATGAAGAAACGAGGGATAGTCCTGGGGGACAGGGGACAGAAAACACTACAAAGGTGTTATCAAAAAAGAAAGAAGAAAAGGGGTAGACAATGTTTTTGTCCATGAGACTTAGCCTACATTTTCTTTTCTCTCTCTTTTCCTTTTCCCTTGTATCCTTCCGATTTGACTCCTTCTGGTCTTTTATAGTTGGGGTTGAAATTTTTTCCTTTGTAGTTGCCGTAAGGGCTTGTGTTTTTCGACTGGGGTTTTTCGTAAGTTGTTCGTGAAGGTCCTGCTACTGAGCTAGCTTGAGTTGTATTGATGTCGGAATACGGGTTTCTACCTGTCTTTGGTCCTCCTTTCCTATACGGGTTGTCGTCTAGATTTAAATCTCCTTGTTCTCTAGCTGAACAATAGATCTCTTCTACCAGGCCAATTGGTTCAAGGGCCGGGTTTGGCACACTTTCGTTTGGATTTCTGATTGCAAACGTCGCTTTCCGGATGGTTAGATCATAGCGGAAAGCTACGACCCAGGAGCGTTGATCCTTGAAAATCTTTATGACTTTTTTGCGGTGAGTTTCTAAATCGTTTGCAAAGGCGTTGTACTTGTAGACTTTTCTGCATGTTTCGACAAAAGTATCGAAGTTTTCTCCCCACTCGAAACGTGATTGAGACCATTCACCTGGGAAGGGGTGACCTCTGTACTTTTCGATCTCTTTATTGGATTTTTTGTAGTCTGTGTGGTTATCTGACGCGGCTTGTTGCCAGTCCTTGTTGAATATGGTTAGTGGTAATGAACCTTGCAATAGCTGCATATTTTTATGAAAGAACAGGGGAAGGGTGAAAGAGTTCGCGTCTGGTGTTTTTCCTGAATCGAATTTTAGACCTCCTTCTGATACAATAGTTCTTGGAGGGATGATGATTGTGTGATTGTTCAGATCTGGTATTGGTGAGTCTTCAGTGAAAGTTAAATCAATGATCTGTTGAGATTTCTTTTCTAACTCTTTAATCTCATCCAATCTAGCTTGTACTTCTTGGAGCTTCTTCTTTCTTTGCTCTTCATTCATTTGAGCCGATAGTTTCTGGATTTTTGGTAACACCGTAGTCGCTCCAAAGAATTCGCAATATTCTTTATTCATTTTTAAGATAGCTTCTCTCATAGCGTCTTTGTCGGGGACGGAGGCTGTGTTCCGTGTGTAATGGGGTTTTCACATTACTTGGTTAGATTCATCTATCGTAATCTTTAATGAGCTACAGGAGTTTTAGCTTACGGCTGTCTTTTGCTTTTTCCCCGGTTTCTTTTTCCTTTGGCAAGTCCTTGTCGTTTGTTTTTGCTCCTTGCGGGGCTGTTAAGCAAACAAAGGAAATGTAAGTATTTGAGATGTGGTGAGAGTTTTTTAAGATTTTTGGTACTTTTAAGCAAGGATGTTGCTTACTCTCGTCTTGTTCTCTATTTGGGCTCTTTGACTGGTTTGTCATTTGATCCTTTGGTGCATTTGGATTTTTATCTAAATGGTAAAAGTCCAATTGTTTAACGTATTATTAGCTCTTTGCTGATTCTGTCCTAGATTGGAGGAGCAAAACATTGCTTACCTTGTCCTCTTCCGAGGTAACTAGAGATCAAGCTTTGCTTGTTGTACTTTGCTCCCGATGATTCTGTGTTGTCATGTGGGGTGGGGTCTGCGTTTCCTTTTGATGCATCATTTTTGGTGTTTGTACCTGATTGATCCGCATCTTTGTTTCCATTGTTCGTTTCTTTTTGTGGGTTGGATACTGCCTCTGCTAACGGAGTTATGCTATTGATCCTAGCTGTTGCTTCCGAGATAGCGTTTGATGACATTTTTGAAGGAAACGTTTGGGTTTATGGGTGATTTGATTTTTATCGGAGGATATGCTTGATGATCACGAAACGAAGGAGGAATATACGAAAAGAAACGGGCAGTAGATGTAAGAAAGGGAAAAGGTAAAAAATAGGACAATGTAAGAGGAGTACTGGCAAACCGAGATCTTGACGATGCGGAAAAAAGGTCGGGAAAAAGCACGATAGAAAAGATATTCAAGCTAAACGGATTGGTGATGATAGTATTCTTTTGGGACTTCTCGATCTCTTTCTTTTTACACTATGAACACGCGGAGAGGTTGTAGAAAGAAATTTTTAATTGAAAAACGTTAAATCTATATCACTATTTCTTGAATTGCTTGACTGCAATTTTTGATCTGAAAATTCTGATATTGCTAAAAGCTGATTTCACGATAATTGAGATGATAACAAAGAATACTGATTGGATACGGATGAGGGGAAGCAAGTCTTGATCTCAGCCGTGGCCTCCTTAATAACCTTACATCCATCTTGGCTAGAGTAACCAAGGTATAGAATTTTTGGGATTTGAATTGCTTGAACCCTTCTCAGGGTAAGACCAATTAGTTTGACTAATTCGACCAGAATGGTCGATTCCTAAAAAACCCTTGGTTATTGTTATGTTTTTGATACGGATGGATTTGGTTATTCGGGAGGCACATGTAGAATGTGTTACCCGTACCCGTGGACACTGTCTACCTCCGTCGTGCCTCCTATGGAAACCTACCATCCAATCTGCACCGGGAAAATAGAGTTCACTCTGAAAGTGATATAGTTTTGAGTTTTTGACTTGAAAAGTTAAATCTGGCCACACCAAATCTTTTCAAAAACCTGCCAGTAGATCTTACAACCACTGTAGTTTACCCCCAAGCTTGTGATGGTAAAATATAGTCCAATACAACAGGTATGGCAAGTGTTGGGAGGAGCAGTGAACCAAGGTACCCTTGGGTCCGGCAACCCCAAAAGATGTGGTGTTCAGTCTAGGAACTAGAGAGGGGATTTTTTTTCACCTCTAATGCCTCACTTGCTTATTGCTCCTCACTTGATGTTCCCCTCTGTCATTTCCTTAAAGATCATAGCCTTCTGTAGTTTTAAGGAAATTCTTTTCTTTAAAATCCAACCCTCCGTCCCAGCAAAGAGAAGCCCTCCCGGGTTCTTTGCTCTCACCCCAGCAAAGGAGTTCTGCCCTGGAGATAGATGTCTATCACCCGTGTCAGGACCCCCTTTTCTTGCCGGGGCATACCCCCATAGTTTATTATTAATGGTTGCAAAGGACACACCTTCAGGGTGACAATTCTTTAGGATGAACATGTAATTTACCACCCCCAATGAGAGTACAGAGATATGACTATACTATGATGATAATCCCAACATACCCTCCCATACTGAGGTAGTAGTGGAATGACCTCAACATACAGCTAATTTGAGAATGATTGATTTTTGTTGAAAAGTGTATCAAAGTGCAAAACTTGATTTCCTTTTTGACCAAGTTTTGTTTCTCTACTCATTTTGAGAATAAAAAGAATACAAAACCTGTAAGAATGCTTTTTGGTTGGCCTGACCACTTTGGCAACATATTTTTTCTTTGAAAAAAGCTATCATTCTCAGATTGGCTGTGATATCACTGTTGGGGGATTTGCCTGTCATACCGCCAAAATTCTGATGTCATCATATGTCATCATAAATCTGAAAAGACCTGCTCCTGTATTCACAGATCATAGTCTATTAACCTTTACATTGTAAATTTACTGAGTCATTGAGGCTTAAAAATAACCACTGACAAAAAATACTATTTTATCCATTTTCCACAATATACTTCTCTACAATTCTGTCCTTTTGTAAGACCTGCGGTCATTACACAAACACTTAGACATATACTTAAATATTAATACTTAAGACTTAATTTCAATTCTCTTATAAGTTGCTTTGATCTCCATTCATTGACTGGTTCCTTAAGAGATATCGGGACTAACTCATGCCCTCTATCCTTCGGAACCAGGTATGGCTATTTCTACTTTCTATTTTCATTCTCTTTATTATCTATCTTGTACTGGAAGAGATATCGGGACTAACTCATGCCCTCTATCCTTCGGAACCAGTGTGTTCTCGTTGGGATTTGAAATCAAAAGTTAGATCTCTTGGGTTCTAGAAAATCCCCCGACTGTGTCTCACAGTCTCCCGTCCGAAGTGTCGTATGAAGGTTTCCTGAACCTTACACCTTTACATCCTTTCTGTACAAGGCATATTTTTATATGGTCAAACTGCTCCTTGATTTGTTGATTCTAGGAAGAACATGAAGCAATTGATGGCAATTTTCTTTGGATATTGATATTTACACACTTATCAATCAGTTTGAGCACAATTTTGGCCCTATGTGAGGATTCTAGATCTGTTAGGTGTACTCTTCACTAAGAATATGGTAGTGAAGGTAAAGCTTGGTCTTCACATGGTACACTCAAGTGAAGACTGCAGCTAGTTGACCTCTAAGAGGAGGATTCAAGGAAGAGAAAAGGAGACTAATTGGGGTAGTAAAGAGCTAGTATGCTCTAACCCCATGAGACTGTAAGGGGCAGGCTTCACACTTTGGCAAACCAAAGAGCCTGAAGGCTACTCTAGACTCCTTATAAAGTAGGAAGCCTTTATACTGACAATGAATGCTCTGGGCTTGTAGAGGCATCTATGTTGGTGGTGCAGGATAGTGTGAAATCAACAGCAAATACAGATCAAAGCTGGACCTTCAGTGATCCAAACACCGGGCTGGAACAACTATTTTCTTATGATAGAAGTCCTGGGACAGACAATCCATGTCAGTTGAGGATTTGCTTTAAGAAAGAATAAGTAAGATCAGGACAGATCATCTTGTACACGTCCCCACGCCTAGGATTTGTAATCATTGGGTTCGCAACAGGCCCCGTCCCCGCCGCTGCAGAACTTGAATGATTACGTAAACCACTTGGAGGGGACTGTACATAGTAGGCTGAGTCTGACTGAGTATCTAACTAATCATCTCATCATCTTGTCCCCCCTTACATTTCCTCTTGTAGATCTTCACTTGATTTATTTTCAAGTAAGCTTGTATATGACCACTTAATTTCTAATCCTATTCTTTGAACAATTGCCTCTTGATATCTTGCTCAACTTACTAGATCTGAATAACCCTGTGTACCTCAAACATCAAAAAGATCAGCTGTGATTCAAAGAACCATTTTTGTTGATCATGATTTGAGCTCTTCATGTCAGTATTGGTTCTTTTTGAAATCGTGTATCCAGGTTGTTGTTGCTTCTCTCATACTGATACATTGAATTTCATGACACTATACAATCTAGTGACAAGAGGACCCAATAGTTAATTAACATTTACACAGGCCACTGCTCGGAGCAAAAAAAGACAAAGTTGACAGCTTCTCTCTCCATTGAACCTGGGCAAATTCTTATGTTGGCTTGACAGAAGACATTTCCGTAATGTCAAACCTTTTGATTGCTGATGACTTCAGTCAAAAGATCAAATGAAACTCAAGTCTGCACCGAGGAATTCTCCAGAAAAAATCCTCAAATAGCTGATGAAGGCTCCAGCTTCCCTTGGAAGACCTGGGCAAGGATCAATGCTAGAAGGAATCCAAGGATAGGTTCATGATCAATTAGATAAAATAATTATTTTGCAATTTATCTAGAAGATTGTGTAGGAAAAAACACAACACAATCATATAACATTAAAACAATGATTTTCCTAATTAAAACAATGTACATAAAATCCTGATTGTAAAATTCATCACTTCTGCTTCATACTAATAATGAACTAATAATTTGATAGAAAAACATCAACCTAACTAATTATAATACAATCTCAAGACTGCAACTAAATGAGAGACCAAAAAAAACACAACGTAAGAAAAACCTACATACTAAGATGCCAAAAATCAAGATAGACCTGAATCATTCATTCAAAGAAAAATTCAATCAACAGATTACAAGAAATCTTTGATTTTTGAAGAACAAGACTATGCTTTATCCTTTTCCAACGCTGTGATTTGATCTTTTTCTTGATCGCTCATATTTTCTCCACCCATGTTATTGACTATAGCAGTTGGTTCTTCTTCAAACTTACGACCTCTAAACTCTTGTCCTAGAGAAATCATGATGATGATATATCCTGCAACCGTTCCGATTAAAACAGCTTGAACAAAGGCATAATTGGCGACCATTCTTCCGTCTCGGTTACGGATTTGATGTGCTCTACCTGCCGCGGCTTCTATTTGAGAAGACGCAGAACTGACCATATTACCTAAGTGATTGTACGAGAAATCAAGGAGCACAAAGTCAAGAATAAGTTTCAAAAGGAATGTCTATTTCCTTGGAAGACTGAGATGGTATGCGTACCTAGCTGATAGGTCAAGCCAGTGAAGATAGCCCGAAAAGCTGGGGGTGAGATCTCGCTGAGGTAAATGGGAATTACACCTGGTAGCGTTATGTCAAGGTTGAGAACCGGTCAAACTCGATGAAAGTGGCACCTTCGAAGCAGTCTAAATGTACGTACCCCACGCGCCCTGGACACCAATTTGAAGGAAGAATGCTCCGGCTGCAAGTCCCGAGAAGGAAGTGGGGAGTATCCAGAGTGGGATAAAGGCACCAGCCCATAGAGCCATAAGGATGATAGTTAGCCGACGACCAAGAAATTGTGACAGCCATCCGGCCACTGAACCTCCTACAATCGCGCCACAATTTCCTAGATATCCCCAAGATCGAAATGATAAGTGGATCATAAGACACCTTTAGATATAGTGGAAGAACCGACCAATGATGGTCAGGATTGAGGACTGATTACGAGTCATGCCTTTAGATATTTGAGCGTAGGTAGGATAAAGATCTGTGGTTCACCGGTGAAATGAGAATCAGTATGGTTCTTGGATTGAGTGCTCTTCGTCATCAAGCAATCTGGACATACCCTGAGAGCCATGAGAGAAGAAATTGAAACCTATTCATGCGATTTTGTCACGAGAATGTATTTGTCAGATAATGAAAACACAGTTGTAACTTCAAATGAAAGACGAACCAGTCATCAAAAGAACTGCAAAGATAAATCGACCCCAGTGAAGTCTAAGGGCTGTTTTGAGGGAATGAAGGTAGACAGTTGAGGCCGAGCGACCTTCTGGGTCTGGGTTCTTTTTGGCCTCTTCTCGTGCCCTCAAGAAGACCTCAGATTCAGGACAACACATTCGTAAGATGGCGACCAGAAAAGAGAGACCTGAACCCAAGTAAAAGATCGAACGCCAGTTGTCCGTGTCTGAGACAAGAGTGAGATTCACAGAGGCAGCAACCAGGTAACCGGCGGCATATCCTTGCTGTGAACGCATGCAGGTTTCCGAAGCGCCGAATAATCAATATTCATGTACCGCTATGGTTTCTGTGGATATTGGTGGATTTTTTTGTAAACAACTGACCTGCAATATACCCGAGAAGAGACCGCGCGCTTCGCTTGGCATATTCTCGAGGGCAGTAGCTATGATAACGGTCAGTGTGATTAAGGCATGAATGAATATTTAAATCATATCTGACATGGCAGAAAAAATGTGTGAACTGACCAGCAGCCATACCATAAATTCCTCCCATCATGATTCCAAATAAAGATCTGACCGCGAGGAATTGTTGAAAGGTATTGACAAAAGAAGTAGCAAGTGAAAGGACCGAGACAAAAAGTAAATTGAATGCCAAAGGCCATCTTCTACCATATCGATCTGTTATGATCCCAAACGCAAATGCGCCCGCAGAACGAAAAAGTAGCGTGAGGGTGATCGAGGTGGTGATTTGTTCAACGTCTTTTCCAAATTGTTCACTCAGTCGTACGAGCGTAAGACTGGCGGAAAAGAAATCAAAGGCGTCCATTAGCCACGCCGCAAAGCCCACGAAGACTGGAAGCAAAAAAGGCAAAAACAGGATTAATCTTGCTGCCTGTTCCCTCTTCTTACGAAGTTTGTGGGCAAGGTGCGCAAAAATGCTCACAATAGAACCATTGTTTCCATGATAATCTGCGACAAATGGTTATTGGTGATTCGGCTTTGTTGGCTAGTCGTTCTTGGCGATTGGGAAGTCTGGGTAAATTGGCGATCACTTCCTTGAGGAGCCCCATATTGCACTTGACTGAATGCAGATGATGTAAGAAAGCCTAACAAGAAGGATAAATGAGATCCGACCGATTTATGAAGAACGCTCTAAACGAGGCAAATTTTATGGTCAGCAAAGCAAGAAAGTTATTTCAGAAAGGAGGGAAGCACGTACCAGATTCAGGAGTTTAAACAAACTGGACCAATTGCGAAGATGATGGCGCTTGGTGACTGTAGTGACCTAGTATCGTGAATGGCGCGGGCAAATCTATAAAACGCAGTAGGGGCTTGATCAGCTTAACCGCAGCGTGTAATGCTAGCCAGATGGATCCCCGTATCAGCACTCGACTTGACTCTTATAATTATAATTGAAAGTTGAACTAAAGAAACAAGCGAAGGGAGGAATCACGTCTTGGAAATGTACACAGCAGAGAATTGAATGCGGGGTAAAGCAAGGGAAGTAAACGATAACGATAACGATTACGTTTGCTTGGAATGCCAAGTGCATATATTGGCAATTTTCGGCAAAGGGAATTGAAAGGGAAATGGATATGTATGGAGTTTGCTGTGCCGGTGCGACTGACAGGCTACAGACTACACACTGGGTTTATCGGATAAAAATACTCAACTTGACGAAGTGTTCAGAGCTGCCCAAGAGAAATCTGCGGTTGTTTCGAGGCGAATGGAATCGTGGATATCAAAATAACAACGCATTAAGATGAGCGTTCAGATCCATCAATCAAACTGATAAAACCCAATCCAATCGAAAGGAACAACAGACCAGAATGAGATTTAAAAAGGTGATGAAGTTATGAATTAACTTGGGAATAAGAGGTTAACAAGAAAATGGATTGAGAGCGATTCAAATCGGTAAAATCGAATCAAATGTTGGTAAGCTGCTCAAGAAGGTTAAGAGAAGACCGAATGATTTAAATCATTTCCCCAGGATGACTAATTGATTATCACCTTGAACTTGTTAAGTTTTTGAAACTCTACTGAATGATCCTCACATGACTTCTTAGAAGAGCATTGTGCCTGCATCCCTCATGCTCCCTTAGATAGCGGTCTTGAGCCTTTGACTGAAGCGGTTAAAACCATCATTCTTTGAACCTTGTACTAATTATACTGTCTTCATTAAACATCATCGGAGCGCATGAGCTTTCGGAAACGTCGGAGCTCATCGATTCGCAGCTAGAGGAAATCTGAGCCAGAGTGAGGTCAGGTGGAGTACCCCAGTCGGGACTTAACTTAACATCCTCAAGCGACGGCGAATGTCCAGCACGCGCAATTAAGGGAGCATTGGAGGATCGTTGGAAATGGGCGAAACGATCCCCGGGCGAAAAGTTACGTTTACATGCCAGCCTGTACAGAGCCCATACAGGAGCCACAGCGTAGTTCAAAAATATAAGCCACGACTGAGGTCCCGGTCCGTGGTGGCCCGTTATAGACCCGAGAAAGCGGTCCGGTACAGATAGCTGCTCGGACATGACCACCACAATAATCAATTACAACTTGACCTTGTTTTTTTTTGAAATACACAAGTGGCTCTCAAACCTGACCCAGTTTCAAAAAACCGGGTTGCCCCAGTTGAATTTTTGGCTGGGAGCTGTCAACAAATGTCAACTTGATACACAAAGTTACTGCCAAAAAACAACTGGGTCAACTGGGTTTTTTGAAAACCGGGGCAGGTTTGAGAGCCACTACAGGTACCACTCTTGAAAATACCACCACACCTCGATGGACTACCGCTATATCACACATAATCACCGACTCATTGTGAAACCCCTCCCTCTACCAATCGTTGGAAAACTCAGTGGCTTAAGCTGTCCTCTGTGCCCATCAAATGGAGGGGTTCAACTACGGTATCAAAACCCGTTCCCCTTAAAGCCTGCAAATATTGCATGGAAGGTAAGCTTGACAGATTCTACTTGTGTTTAATCCTGATTAGCATGTAACTGAAGATATGTATCTTCTACAGTGTCATCAAGCTCACAGACATCCGGGAAATGAAGGCTATGTACGGACCCTTGTCCTCGAAAAACTCATCCAGGAGATTAGAGCAAAAAATCGAGAATTTCAACTCTGCTCCCTTCCCCGAAGTTTGGCTGCAATTATCTCTGTGCCAGACTACAACACAAGCACAAGCCAGATTGCCTCTAGTACATCAAAGCCGTGCCCAGGGCTCAACGGACAATTTGGTCAAACCCACCGGTCAACTTCAAATGCAAAATGTACTTATCAACTCTGCATTTCGGTAAGTAACTTTGTCTTTTTTGTATCAATCTTTACCATGATTCTACAATCTGAGATTTTCTTCTTCTGAAGTGCTGTAAACTCGGGCAAAGTCAAGGTCAATCTATTTGTGTAGTCACTTCTCACCGGTATCAACGTGTAGTTTCATTGGAAGGAATTTCATCCAACAACCCAATATCAACGACTCGCCTTCTCCCTGCGCCTCCTTCTCTTCCTCCTCCAAGCCAACCCTCCCAAGTCCAGTCAGCTCAAGCAAACCGAGCTGTTACTGCCAAGCTGTCACAGTCGCAGTTGACTGAGTATCACAGTAACTTGAAGGACGCCGAGCAGGCGGCTAAACGCAAGAAATTGGCAGAAGAAGAACAGATGCGAAGACTTACTATTGAGTTCTGGCCTAAGGTGATTCAAAATATTGTTTTTAGCTTTATGCAATATCTTATTGTAATGTTTATGTTCTGACTATCCGAGTATACTTAGGCTGGTGATAGTATCTTGATCCGGACGTCGGCAAAGGACTGGCCATTCTTTGCACTTGGACAGGGTGACCTGTTTTTGTTTGAGGGTCATAACTCGGGTGTTGATAATTGGGAATCAATGGTGATGGTTTGGAATACATCATCAAAGCGATGGGTTTGTCTTTAAATATTTAAAAATATTGTCTAAACACACTCACTTATCATATTTTTATTGTGCAGGTCCGAATTTCTTTACATGATGCTGAGAAATATCCTAAAGTACCTCGCAAGCTTCTCATTCGGCTAAGTGTTGTAAATGAAGATGAATGTACTGGGCTTGAAAATGCGAAGGCAGATGTGAATACCGAGGGTCCGTACGAATCGCTTTCAATGCCATTAACTTGGAATGCATTATCATCGCGGAACCATACGCCTACTCGTCCATTATCTACTGGAAATTCAACCAATCACACACCATCTGGCCCTACACAATGGTCTCCTTTCCCTCGCAAATCCGAAACTCCAATCCGCCCAAATCCATCTCAACAACGCAGTTCCTCAATCGATTCAGATGTTGTATTCATGGGTAGTAAAAACAATCAAGAAGAAAGAAGGAATGCAGAACCAAAGGTATGGGTGGTTTTTGGCACGCTTTTGTGGTCTCTGATTGCTGATAGTATTTTACATTCAGGCGCTGAAAACATGGCCTGACAGTGGGGTGCTACTTTCACAAGCTTTGAAATGGCATTACAATATATTTGATATTAAAAATATACGTAAGGCTTGGGATTTAAATTTTGGTGAGATTTACAAATATGGACAGGCCACTGCCTACCGAGTCGACGACTGGATTTTCATTGTAGGTGCTGTGACGTTGACTGAGGTTGTCAAAGCCACACCTCTGATCACACTGAAAGAAGCGCGCAAGACTTACGCTGAAGAATGGAAGCAAGCTAGGGAGAGCAAGAGAAAGTATTGTGGTGCAAATGAGGGGGAGAAGCGAAAGCGATGTGGGGATTCAGGATCAGCTGTCAGCAGAAAAAAAATGCGACACAATGAAACATCAACAGACAGCTCTGATGTAGAGGTGGTATATCATTAGAGTATAAATAAATGAATCATTTGTTCATTCTGATATTCTTTATCACATTATCTTCAAAATTTATCATATCACTCCTTTCAATATCTAGAGCCTTTTAATCTCCTCATTTTGAAGTTAATCTTCTATTCGACACTTTCTTTCATTAACTTATTATTATCTATTTTAATTTAATTCAAGTTTGAGTTTGATTTGACAATTTCTTTCATATTTTAATAATAATATTGTTTTGATATAAACAATTGTGCCTTCAAAAAGATAGGGAACTTTTCGATTCCCTAGTTGAAGTGACATCAACAACTATAGCAGATATAGCTGTACTCAAATTTGTACCTTTCCAAAATTTGAATAGTCAAAAGATAGCTAGTCAAAAGATAGCTTTACACTAGCAAGAAGTCATTCTCACCATTCATAATGAATCATATCTATATGACTGAACAACAGGTATTATTTGAATTGTATGACCATCTTCAAAGTAAAGCATTGACTATCAAATTCTTAACCAGTTGTTTCACAAATGTAAAGTAAAGTCTTGGTTTTACTAATCATCAAAAATGTATATCCCCCAAATGACCAATATCCTTCCGTTTCTCTAGCTTTTCACACAACCAAATATTACGTAGCCTAACCATCTCATCAAGGAAAAAATTATACTGCACTGCTGTCATGCCCCTGCAAATGGAAGCAAAACCCCCATACCAGATGTTTGTCAACTCTGCAGCTGATGAATTAAAGATCCAACCTCCTTGATCCTTTAATTGAGGATATAAGTTTGGGTCCGTCCATTTCCTGCAGAAACAGTCATCCTCTGTGTGTGATTTGAAGTGAAATGCATCAACAGCAACAATGGACTCTTGAAATCTCTCCCGCTCACTATCCTCTGATTTATATATGTGTGCCAAGAGCTTACATGCATTATCATAGAAAATTACCTGAGGCATGTTAGTTGGGAATGTGTCCATGAGGAAAAGCTATGCAGAACCAAAAAAAAAGGTAAATAAAGAAACCGCGCTATTCAGAGAGTAGGAATTGGGACATACTTTTACAGCACTTGGTGATTCAGCTCTGAACATGGTCTGCCTAGCCAATACAACACCACAAGCACCTACAATAAGCTGGTCATTGTGTGTTCTTTCTCTTGATAGCTTAGGACGAGACTCTTTGCTTGAAACCCCACCATCACGTCCCTTTTCATCATACCTATCTGCTTCATTTGCATGTTGAATATCTTCATAGTCTTGCAGCTCTGCTGTCTCTTCATTCTGATGGACCGTGGGGTCCAACCGTAGGCTGGATCCTGGCCGGTTGAGCATCGGGTGAAGCTGGAAGTTTCCGTCTTGATAGAAACTCTTACCCGCTCTGATATGTGATTCAAGATCGCAAGTCTTTTGACCCAGCATTACTGGCCGTGTGCAGGGCTGAGCTTCGCATTGCTTCTGCAAGAGTTGAAAGTGTTTTCTACAAAATCGTGAGCGGACATTATCTAGTGAATTAAGGCATGGGCCATTTGGAGGAGGATCACCCGCATCCATTGCAAGGTATTCGAGTTGAGCACGAGAAGCACTACAGCGATAACGCCCAATAGTCAACCCATCAGTAACCACAGCGCGGATTACTACACAAAGAAAACACAAAAGATATTCAGTTCAGAACTCAATAAACCATCATTTGGATATAATGAACTTAAATTACCTGAGTATTCATCCGGCTGTTGACAATGCCTAATAGAGGTACATTTCCCGCAGGAATGATTTTTATGGCTGGAACCATTTGCTCTAACATATGCTGTATGAGCTTCTTTTGCCTCTTCGTATCGAGTAGCGTCAAGTCCATCGGCAGGAACCACAAGTTGATGAGAGCGAGAAGAGAAGTGATACAACAAGGTGTGTATGTCCATTCCATCTTTACATACACCCGCAGATAGAGACGAGGAAAAACTCTGAGTCGGAGAAAATAATGGAGGAGGGCAAGCAACAATATGTGTGTCATTGTATAAGTTAACAATATTGAATATTGATGAGCTTGTAGAGTTCAGTTCGAGTTTGAAATGTAAAAATACGGTATCAGCACCAATAATCATTTGATCAAAACCTTAGAGGAAAAAAGATCACTCACTGCTGAAGCATTTGAGACATCTTAAAGTGATGGGCTAGGCGATGGGTCATGAAGTAGTGAGTATGAACATGAAAGATCTTATCCTTTTGGGCTTGAGAGCTGGTGAAAAGTGTCGTTTTTGTTTATTCACGTAGTAGCTGGGGCAGTAAGTTGTCTTACAACCTGGATTCAAAAACATAGGTCAGTATAGTAGGATGAATTAAGGTAGAAAATGTTGACTCACTTCGGCAGTAAGAAGAAAAGTGCTGCACTGTCTCACAACCATCAAGATCGTATAGGTAGCCAAATAAGGAATCGGTTTCAAGTGCATGTCCAGTCTGGCACGTTGGGCATGTTTTGACTGGGGGAAAAAGGAAGTGCTGTGCAATGCGTGCTGGAATTTGGCCATCGGTTCTTTCTGGCAATACACCATTGTTTGCAATTGTTTGGTGAGGATCGGTGTGGCAGGAGGGGAGGAAGCTGAAAGAGGATTTCCATAGTAAGTTGATTGATTGATGAATGGAAGCTGGCAGGCTTGCTGCAAGATACTGAAAGGGCCGTTTAATTGGTGTTAGTTTCAGGCCACCTTTGGCACGAACAACAAGATCTGAAGCAATGGAAAAGAACTGTGCAAGATCTTTGCAGTCCAGTGTATCCATAATGTGTGGATCATTTGCGATGAGAATTTCTAAAAAATCTTGAAGTAACATTCTCGAGGCAACAATAGATAGCAATAGAGGGGCGATGAGGAGTTGGGAGCTCCAGCACACTTTTTATACCTGTTTTGGGTTAATAAGTATGGCATATTTGTCTCATATCTCCTTATTCCTAGCAGTGGCGACCAGCTCTTGGTGTTTTATCATTTGTCGTGTTGGACACTAGAGTAACCAATGACCTCCTTTGTCATGTTACTTTTCAAGTCAGAGCAACGTAACTTGTTTTCTTACCTGATGTGAAGCATGTCTCAATAGTAGCAAGCCGGAACAACTGAAAAAAGATCCTTGTGTCAAACAATCATTGCTGATGACCAAAGATACCACCGTTTCTAGCTCTAATTGATATATGTATCTCTCGGTGGTATTTGATTTTGTTTATCATGGTAGAGAAAAATCAAATCCCATATCCTTAACCGCCCAAAAGGTTTCTTGAGTGTACAGAAGTAGTAAAGGAAAAGATGAAGGTAACAAAACTTATATGAAAAGGCAAGTTGGATGATTTCCTAAGCGTACGGAAGTACTAAAGGAAAAGATCAAGGTAGCAAATTTTCAAAAAAAAAACAATCTATCCGAGGCGATTTGAATGATTTCCTAAGCGTACGGAAGTACTAAAGGAAAAGATCAAAGTAACAAAATTTTGGAAAAAGAATAGTAGCCAATCTATTTAAGGCAACTTGAATGATTTCCTAAGCGTACGGAAGTACTAAAGGAAAAGATCAAGGGAGCAAATTTTTTAGAAAGGATCGTAGCTAAACTTTATGAGGCGATTTGAATGATTTCCTAGGCGTACGGAAGTACTAAAGGAAAAGATCAAGGTAACAAATGTTTTGAAAAAGAATAGTAGCCAATTTATTTAAGGTAACTTGAATGATTTCCTACGCGTACGGAAGTACTATAAGGAAAAGATCAATGTTACAAAACTTTTAGGCGGATGAAGGAGAGACAGTCAAAAAGGTGACTGGGATGGACTCGCTATTAAATAGCATGCCAGTGTCAGGTTCAGACCAAAATATGATCCAGGGCTTTACGGATTTGGAATAGCCCTTGTCGATGGAGCGAATGGTTTTATTCAGCTTGGTTTAACAACCAATCTGACTATCAAACCGATCTGACTGGATTGGGTCTTTTGGCAAACTGCTTACAATCGAGGCTAAGACCAAGTCGTGTAGGTTGTACATGCCAAGACTTTTTCATCGTTTTACTGAGGTCCCTGGACCATCAGTCAGGGAGTCAGGGACCTCCCGAGGGGGGTAGATGGAAGGGCTGCTATAGGCTGCTATTTCTGGAAGTGAGCGAGCTTCCACTCGCGACCTGTATGTACATCCAAGCCACGGTGCCACCTTCCCATGTACAGGAAGGTGGCGCCTTGGGGATACTTTCTCCCCTTTGCCGTTTCGCCCATTTTCGCCGAATTCCAACGATAATCGAATTCTCTGGCAATTAACTTAACTGTTTTAATAGTTTTAATGCTATGTTTAAACCTCTGCATGAGGGACTTAGTTAAGCTAACACGCGGGGAGGACTGTTTGCATGATTTCTGATTCGTTGAACTCTTCGAACGTCTTCACAAGCGCGACTCTTTGAGTCTTTCGCATCACGGCTCTCGTTCGCTGCGGGTCTTTGCCCCTCAAGACTCGACCACCGGTTGACACACATTTCATTCGGCTTTCCGCTACGCTGGCTGCGTTAAACATTTGTTTTGATTGCACAAATCATCAACTTGCCAGATAGATACTACTGGATGTTCAAACGTAAATAAAAACCATCATGCATCATGAGATTCTGGAACACAAAGACGGGATCATCATAGCATGGTGAGGAAACAGTCTTCATTCATCACCGCAGCTTTCTGACTGACAAAAGCATTGTTGCAGACCCCATCATTGCAACTCCCTTCAATTGGCTATGACATTTGATTATGAGATGGTGGAAACATCGTATTTTTGTCAGATGTATGAGCTCATGCCCTGACGACTGTGTATTCGAGATCTTTGATCCGAGAGCACTTCAGATGTTGCCCCACAATCTATCCTCATTGGCAGTGATGATGTATAGCCATGATAGGGGGTATTTCCAAATCATTTACTTGGATTCTGTTGGGTCAACTTTTGATTGAGAATCTGGTCTTAAGGGTAGGCTCTCTTTCAAAAGCTCCCTACTCACAGCCTTATCCACCGTGGTCATGTCTCTGGAGAAATTACTTCGATCAAACTGCGGTGATGAGTGACCAAGATGACGGTACGGCTTCGATTGGAGTGTATGCAGTCCGTCTGTGCGGTGCTGCGAATTTGGACTTCAGATAGAGCAAGATGTTTAGTCACAACAAAACCTCAAACTGTGCGCAGAGGATGCCCTTGGCGTAACTCGTCTGATAGGAACCGGAGCAGTGCTCCAATGAGTTCATCACGCAGCGAAGTTCGTATTCGTCTCGCAACATGAGACTGTGTATGACGGCCTCGTCGAATAAATCACACTCGAAAACTTCATGATTCATAGAAAACCGGTATGAACCAAAGCTTCATTCTCAACTTCCATTCACGATGCCAAGATCATCACTTTCCCTCATTATGTCACCCACATTCTGTGCGACCATCATTCTTTTACTCCTCTACAACACTCATTCAACACCCATATCTTTAAGTTTCGGCCTTCAGGTGGTCAAACCTCTCCTGGAATCACAACCGCTCCTAGGATCACATGCTGCTTCTGCTTCCCAAGATACTTTGAATCTGGGTCACCAACTCTCGAATATCAAGCCTTCAGGCCCGCTGAAAGTAACATGTTTGACAATTGGCTCCAGGGGAGACGTACAGCCTTACATAGCTTTGTGCAAAGGTCTACAAAGAGCAGGACATGTATGCACCATCGCAACTCACCCAGAATTCAAGCAGTGGATTGAAGCTTATGGCATTAAGTTTGCCAGCATTGGAGGAAATCCAAAGGAACTGATGAAGCATTGTGTAGAACATGGTAAGGAATATTCAAAGAAATTCTTCTCTATATGATGGTCAGCTGCTGCGAGCCAGAGAAGCTGAAAACATCTCCGGGGTACAGGAATACTTTCATTCTCGTTTTGGCGGCAAGGGTATTCAAAAGTATGTACATCATGATAAATTTTTCGAATGCATAATAGTTTAGGATTGAATAAGTTGTTTTGCATTATCTAGTTTAGTAATTGGTATAAAAACCTGCTTGACAGCTCTTATAAAGCTTGCAGTGACGCAGATCTATTGATCGAAAGTCCAAGCGCAATGGTGGGAACGCATATTGCAGAGTCATTGAAGATACCCTATTTCCGGGCTTTCACAATGCCTTGGACACAGACATACAGATATCCTCATGCATTTGCACCACAAGCATGGGGCTGGGTACCTGGCTTTAACTCGTGGAGGTGTGTTTCTGAACCTCGATGACAAGAAGCCTACAAAGTAAATTGATCATGGATTTATCAACATATCAAATGCTTATAGTTACAGGATCTTCGACTTTGCGGTCTGGCTTGGGATCTCTAAACATGTAAATTCTTGGAGAAAAGCTCAAGACTTGGAGAGGATAGGATACTCGTCCCTCAGAAAACGTAAATATCCATTCTTGTATAACTTCAGTCCAGAAATTGTTCCAAAAGCCAAGGATTGGGGTAAACAGGTGACTGTAACGGGGTATTGGGTTTTGCATGATAAACCTACTGTTTCGGGAAAACTTCCGACTGAGGCTGAGATACCAGAAGGGTTAGACGAGTTTATCAAAAATGCTAGAGCGGAAGGCAAGAAGATTGCTTACATTGGATTTGGATCAGTGCGTAGGGAATATTCAGGGAGAAGAGTGATTTTCAACAAGGGAAACTAATCTTTGAAACTTTCTCAAATCATAGGTTGTAGTACCAGATGCGAAAAAAATGACCAAGACCATATCTGATGGTGTGAAGGATGCAGATGTTTATGCTGTCCTGTCGGGAGGATGGTCAGATCGAGCTTTTGAGTCAGCCGAAGCGGCTGAAGCAGCAATGGAAGAGCAGAAAAAACTTCTTGGCAAGAATATCTTCTATGTCAAATCAGTCCCACACGATTGGCTTTTCCCCAGAATTGATGCAGCAGTCCATCATGGAGGGGCAGGATCAACTGGGGCTAGCATGTCCGGTAATTCTTCTCTACTTCCAATGACTTACGTGTTTGGTTCTATTGACACAACTGCTTTGCTTTATGAAATAGCGGGTATTCCCACAATCATAAAACCTTTTTTTGGTGAGATATTTACATCCAGTTTCTTGTTCTGCAGTGAGGTGTGTGCTGATTATTCTGGATTATACACTGCGTATCAGGTGATCAAAACTTTTGTGAGTTTATGATCTGTTCAGCTTATGCTAAAAGCTATCTTGAGATTGACAAACTGAAATGAACAAAAAACAGGGGCAGCAAGGGTAGAGGCACTTGGTGTTGGAACACATCTCAAGACGCTGAAAGCAAAGCCATTATCAAAGGCACTCAAGGACGCCACTAGAAACCACAAAAAAATTGAAAAGGCCAAAGCAATTGGTGCAAAATTGAGAAAAGTGAGCTTGACCAAAACTAGGATATTATGTTGTACCACTTGTAGAAGTGTTTTAATTTAATTTACCTTTTTCTTTAGGAGGATGGAGTTGGAAATGCCATTAAAGCCATCAATGCCGTAAGTTTTTGAGAACAATCCAAGTTCAATAATCTATTCCACTTTCCATTCTTTTCATTTTGAAGTCAAGCTTATTGTTTTCTTGAATAGCATATCGATGAATCCAGGAGAATCAGTGAACAAAACTCACATCCACCAAGATGGTCAAAAAAAGGAATCCCCCGAATCATTAAAAAGACTGGAAAATTGGCACATACCATCTTTATTTATCCCTTTTCTTGGCTTTATCTCCATGCTAAAGTTCTGGTCAAGCCTCATGTTCCATGAAGATGTTTTCAGTATAAGTGCTTTGTATTGATATATCCTTTGTTTTGTTTGTGACCATATGTTTTGTGATTTTTAAATTTAACCAATTGTGTGAGGACATTCATAAGTATAATCAATTTGAAATATTTATACCATATTTTTCTGAGTATTGCAGGCAGCAATTGGTGCTATTACTTCAATATGTTCTCTGAATCTTCATGTGGACCCATCACATACCCTGTGAATGATGTCATAGTTCACAAGTTCTTTTAGTTCTTGTCAATAAGCTTTTAGTGTTTGTCGATAATGTTCCACTATTGCGGCTAGCTGGGATATACATTTATCTACGCTTTGTTTTGAATTCCAATCCTCCTATTTCTTTTCAGGGGAAATCCTGACATGCATAATCGTCGCTGATAGTTTCCACAGGGTTTCTTGGAGATATGGATTCTTACAAGTTGAATCTAGGTGTGACTTGGATCAGGACTCTGTGAAATTTTCATCTTCTCTCTTAGAGATGTGCCCTACCTTTACGGGCGTGAACATATTGAATGGTAACTTATTCTTCTCATCATCATCCATGCTGAAATCCTTCCCTGCACCATCCAGTTTCTCTCCATGTATAGTCATTGCCAGCAAGCTTCTTTTCATTTCAGACGGGTATCAATCAACACCCAAAACTCTTAAACTTACTCAGATTTCAAGTTTTTGAGGAGCCTAGGGTACTATTGGGGCCCTCGCATCGACAGCATTCTAAAACTAGCCTTTTAGAAACATTGGACGATTGTTTCCTCTCCAATTTGAGTGCTTTGATTTTGAATTTTTTCATTATCGAGTACATATGGGCCTCTATAGAAATTAAAAGAGGCTTGATGACAACGACTATACCATCTTGTATTTTGAGGTTCTCTTCCCGATATAAAATGCGAGGAAGTGCAGGTTTTGGAAAAGTTTGTCAGTAGATGTCTGCTTTAGCTGCTTCATTTAAACATATATATGTACCCAGAGTGTCCCAATTTTTATCCAGTGTCAACTATTAGAGTCCAGCCGACCGGATGCAGCAAGTTGCAACGCAGCTCAAGCTCGTGCACATTTCGATGTCTACAACCGTTTTTTCTGAGACTCCGTACACCTCTCCGCCTTTCCACCCTTACGGACTGGGCTGAATGAAGGCTACGTCGCAAGCCCGGTTTGAGAGGTGTCCAATGGGGTGTGGGGTGTGGGGTGCGTGATGATTAGTCAGAAGTGGTACATACATATGGGCGGATAATCAGAACAAGAGTTTGACGACATATGTGCAAGATCAATCAGTTTCGTGTCAAAGGTTTCATCGTTGATACCCGTGAATAGAATGATTCCCCATCCAGTCACTTTGTTTCACTGATCAAGACATATCAAGAGTTCGTGTTCAGAACCTTTAAGATCATAGCTATACACTTCCTGAGATTCGTATGGGTGCCTTCGGAAATATGTATAGGTTGACCTGCTCTTAGCGGAACATCAGATCGCTATACGAAAGGCCCCACTTGACGTCCAGACCTTCCTCTAACGCACCCCTTGGCAACTGGAAGATGTCTTTCATTTCGACATGACCAACACATCCAAAGCAGTCGCCCAACCACCTTCCCAATAACCGCTTAGGAATCGAGCTTGGCCAGATAACCCAAGGCTTCGAATTCAACACTTCGCAAGACTCTCGGATCGTACAAGTCAAGAACAATTCTCAAACGGCCGCACCAGCTGATGCATAAATCCCCCATCATTCTGGCTTATCAACACGAGTGATTGCAATATACGATCGAATCAAACACGTTGTGGCTCGACTTCATGAGCTTGTGGCAACAAAACAAGGCACACTTGAATGACAAACATGCGGACCCTAATCGATCTCTTTCGCCTCGCTTTGCTGTCTCAATATCTCATCTTCACTCCTTCACTATTTATTTTGCTCGACTTAATTCCTTCAACTCGATGTCTCCCCCTCATCCCGGATCTCGCCACACCCTTCGTCGGGCTGAAGGATTCTATCAGCGCAGTCAAGGCGACTAGACTTGAATCGCCCGGCCCTCTGAAAATTACATGTCTGACGATTGGATCCAGGGGAGACGTGGAGCCATATATTGCGCTCTGCCGTGGTCTCATCAAAGAAGGCCATGTCTGTACCATTGGAACTCATCCCGAATTTGAAGGCATGATCAGAAGTCATGGTATCGAATTTAAAAGCATTGGTGGAAACCCCGCAGCATTGATGAAACACGTAGTTGAACATGGTTGGTGGATTCATGTTGAAGAGCAATGCTGAGCCTATCACCGAGACTAACACTGCGGCTGGAATCCACTTTGTAGGAATCTTTTCGCCATCATTTTGGACCAAAGGCTACTCTCAAGTAAGAATCCTATACTAGATTCAACTGGATCTCTTATTTACCATGCCTTTGAATCATTTGCCTTCATCTAGTTTAGTGGATGGCTGAAAGAACTGCTCCACAACTCCGGCGAGGTGGCTCGCGGAAGCGACCTTCTGATCGAGAGTCCCACCACCATGGTGGGTGCGCATATAGCAGAAAGTCTGCAGATACCATATTACAGAGCATTCACTATGCCATGGACCAGTACCAGCGAATACCCTCATGCGTTTGCTGTACCTAGCCAAGCTCGGGGAGCTATGTATAACCGAATGAGGTCCGCCCGTCCTCTTTTTGTTTAGCCAATTGGACTTGAATTGCTGATCACTTGTACTAAATCTCTTGCCCACCTCTTCTACTCTGTACTTCAGCTATACACTTTTTGATCGATTGATATGGGCGGGGACTTCCAGATTCATCAACCATTGGAGAAAACAAGATCTTGGATTGGGACCTATATCTTACAACGCTCTCAAAGCTCGAGAACATCCTTTTCTATACAACTTCAGTGAAAAAGTAGTTACGAGACCCCACGATTGGAAAGAATGGGTCCATTTGACTGGGTATTGGGTGCTGAATGATTCACCCAAAGATGTTGAACACATACCCATAGAAGCCCAACTGCCGCATGGCTTAGAATCCTTCATCAAGACATCCAGGGAGGATGAGAAGAAGGTAGTCTATATTGGGTTTGGTTCGGTAAGCGTTCTGACCGAATTGGCTCTCAATAGGCATGTGACTTATTTTCTTCACTTGGGCTTACTTTTCCAAAAAAAGGTCATCGTACCCGACCCGGAAGAGATGACGCGGATGATCGCAGAAGCAGTCAAGGGTGCAGACGTCCATGCTGTTGTGTCTGGGGGATGGTCCGCAAAAGATTCAAAAGTTGGAGCTGTGGGAATGAAAGAACAGTTGAAGGAATTCTCGGACAGAATTTTCTATGTTGACTCTGTTCCTCATCGATGGTTGTTCAATCAAATCGACGCAGCGGTTCACCACGGAGGTGCCGGTTCGACCGGTGCTAGCTTGAGAGGTGCGTATCTCAAACTTGATTGTGGTGCATGGCAGGATGACTGTTGACATGTTTGTGATCATCAGCCGGGAAACCACCATTATTCGACCATTTTTTGGTAAGTTCGACTACTTTCGCAATTTTCGTCACCGTAAAGTCTAACCAAAGATGGGATGGGTTCTCTCTCTATCGAAACACAGGCGACCAGAAATTTTGTACGTTGCACAAATGTCCTTGAGAAACAAAATTCTTCAGATTCACTAATGCATAGGCCTCATGAAATTGCAACCTCCACCAGGGGCTCAAAGGGTCGAGGAATTGGGTGTGGGAACAAATTTACACGATTTCAATGCAGAGAATCTGAAGGAAGCGCTAAAACGTGCGACCACTGATGAAGCTCAGATCACAAAAGCAGCTGAATTGGGTGTTCAACTACGTAGCGTAAGTCACACTGACTTCAGACGGTCTCTCAAGGAATCAGACAATGAACCTCGATTATTCACACCTGTTTTTGTTTCCCTCAGGAGAACGGAGTGAACAATGCAATTCAGACTATCTATAGAGTAAGCTACTTCTTTTATCGGACTACGTAACCCTTCACAATCAAGTTTCGATGCCTAATGATGGCTTATGTCCAGGAACTCGATTATGCCAAATCATTGGCGGCAAAATACTCGAAGGAAACACATCCGGACCAAGAATTGGCTGTTTCTGAACATCAAGAAGACTCGATCCACAAATATCTCGCACCTCTGGTTCTGGTCCCCAGCTACACGGCTTTTGTCGCATATGCCCTCGCCACCCATCCACTTTCGAATTGACGCTGATAGGTCATAAAAGAGCGAGTAGATCTGTCTTTCTGGTCTCACCTATCCCGTCTCCAGCAACCGGTGTGCTTTTGCAAGCTGTGATCCTACCTTCATTCTCACTTATTACTATCCCCATCAGACATTCCATCAATTATCGAACAAAAAAACACAATCATGAGATGACAGTAAAATTCCTGATAGGATTCCTTCTCTTCTCTTGTGTCACGCGGACTCAAATTATGCATATATCTATTCTTACTTAGAGGTTATCACATCACTCATTCTTTAGATCCTTACCACTCCTTTATTCACTCTATGAATTTCACTCTTTTATATCAATTAGACTCACATAATGTAGATGTTGAAAATGCAGATGTAAATTATGATATTCATTCATTCAAATTGCGGATCTTGTTCACGAATCCTTACGTCTTCCCGGCACAAGTCTTGAGAGATATCTTACAGATGTTTTCTCGTAAGATGCGATAAATGCAGGCAAGTACACACTTGAGTGCTTGTTGGCATTAGTGATGAAACATTCGGTGTATCTGGTGGTACCTCAGCAGCAAGTTTGTAACACTAATTTTATTGCAAGACTAAATCAGTATCAAATATCGACTTCTCATGTTCAATTCTTGCTCAAAGAAACCCAAAACCAACCTCGACACATCAGACCCATCCAGACTCCAGATATTTAAGAACACTGGTTGTCAAAACCAAGGCTGACATCATCTCAACATGTTTCCTGTGGTAAGTATGACCAGAGCATATTATACAAAACTGCGGTCCTCAGATGTCAGCATATTCCAGAGTCTTTGGCCTTGCATGCGTATCTCTGGATTAGTGTCATGCTATAAAAAATCTTGACCAACGCCTTGGTGACTCAAGAAGAAAGCCTTTGCGTTTCCTTGAAGCTAGTTTTCTCACACATACTTCCTGTCGAAGAGGGGATGGAGTTTGTCATCTGGCACACGTTGCAAACGAGTCATGATATAATCATGTATCCGCCCGCGACTTGTGTTGTGTTGAGGATGAAGTGGTGAATGATGATGGAGTTGTGTTAAGTTGAGGATAAAGTTTGATGCGGTATATCCTTTTAAGTTGAACGTAACCCTAGTGTGGGGGATTACAACTGACTGCTCACTTTCACTTTCCTGATTTCGTCTACTTCGATCATTCAACTATTGGTCGACCAACCACTCATCGTATCTAGACGCAATGTCTGACTCAATCAAAATGAACAATCCATCGAGGTCATCTAAGCCTAATCCTATCTTACAATTTCAACAAGAAATTCGAGCTCAAGCACCTATCTCAATTTCTAAAGCAATGGCACAAGTCTCTTTAAACTCCTCACAGAGCCTACAAGATACCGAGGAAATCGAGACAGGGGACCTCAAAGTCTGTACATATATCTATGCCGTCCAATAGACTGTGGCACTGAAATAAATTTTGGGCTTTACACATTTCAAATCATCATGATCGACTCATCACGGTAGACACGATTACTTCGAGGATCGTCTAGCCTGATCGACTCGCTGGTCAATGTTCTGGATCGAAACCTCGAGTATAACAGAGAATGCATGCTATACTTTGGCCCTCATAATCTTTGCACTACGTCTCTTTCGAGCATATTTCAATCTGAGCATGAATCCGAGTCCGAAGTTCCCTCAAACCTTAGCTTAGATCACGACGAGAAGGCCCGTTTGATGGAAGTTTTGGAAGATGTTTGTAGTCATATTGGAGCACAGAAATCGATCGTATGGGACTGTTTCGACAAAGATGGTAGGATGTTGGAAACTAAAACTGAGGTACCCGGCCCAAGTGCTAACGAAGAGGCCTTGGCCGCAAGGTGGAATTCCCGTTCTCTGCGGATGTACGTCTAATCTGCTGGCTTTTGATTATCTCTGCTTGTCAATGTTGATCAACTCAACTACGTGTCGTTCACTTATGAAGCGTGATTCGACGGGTCGCGCTGCATGCTCACGATCTGATCGAATTGCGGGTCGCCTGCGTTGGGAATGGTGAACACAAAGCACTCTTCTGATCAATTGAAATGAAATATCAAACTGACATCATTATGTCTCGTGCGCATTGTGACGGCAGTCGATTCAGGAAAAAGCACCACCCTCGGTGTTCTGACTAAAGGTCGTTTAGACGACGGAAGAGGCAAGGCTCGAGTGTCGCTCTTTCGTCACAAGCACGAGCTGGAATCAGGCCGAACCTCGTCCGTAGGAATGGAGATCATGGGATGTAAGATAACCGCGCAAGCCGGTGTGGCCTTTTCTCAAGCCGAATTTCATAGGTATCTGATCTCAACACCGGTTGCTTTTTTCCACTGATAGTTGACGCGAAAGGTGAAGAAGTGCTTCCTGAGGGAGCAATGGCTGCGCTAGCAGACAGGACCGCTGCTACCAACAACGCACATCCTGTAGGGTTGAGGAAGCAGCAACTCAGCTGGGATGAAATCTGCCGGCGAGCTGCGAAAGTGGTCAGCTTCATTGACCTTGCTGGTCATGAACGGTATCTTAAAGTGAGTGATTCGAAACCTTGATTATGATTTTGGTACTGTGTTAGATTAAATAACGTGAAATTGCTCTGTCTGACCGCCAAAGACTACAATATTTGGACTGACAGGATGTGCCCCAGATTTTGTCCTCTTGATCATTGGTGCGAATGCTGGATTGATCGGAATGTCTAAAGAACATCTCTCAGTAGCCCTAGCCCTTTCTGTGCCAGTAGTAGCGATTGTGACAAAAGTCGATATGACGCCTGCCAATGTATTGGACCAGACGCTCAAGCAGCTAGTCAAGATCCTCAAGAGCCCTGGCTGCAGGTGAATTTCTTTTCTTGATATCGCAACCCAAATCCTTACGTATCATTATGATGACGAAACAAACTCGATGATCAGAAAAGTCCCAGTGTTTGTTAAAAATGATGGGATGGCATGTGAGGTATCTCAACGATTCATTCAAGAGAGGGTATGTCCTATCTTCATGATCAGCAATGTAACAGGAGAGGTGAGTTATCCATCTACATAATCTCTATATTCCGTGATGTTCAAATAACAAGTACTTCCCTTGATCACCGTCAGGGCTTAGGTCCGCTAAAATCATTTCTCAACACGCTTCCATCAGGCGTGGAAGGACAATATCCTATTCATGAGTCGCTAGAGTTTTCCATGTATGTGATCTGGCAATTTCCTTTTTCCCGAACCGACATGAAGGTTGACAAAGCCCTCTTGGTAGATCTGATGTCTTCTCAGTTCCATTCGTGGGTACCGTGGTATCAGGTGTGATACTGTCGGGCAAGATGGCAGTTGGAGATGAAGTACTTCTAGGTCCAGATTCTTTAGGACACTTCGCCTTGACCACGATCAAATCCATGCAACGGAAGCGAGTGAATGTTGAACACGCCATTGCAGGACAGAGTGTAAGCATAAGCCTCAAACGGATTAAGCGAAGTGGAGTACGCAAGGGAATGGTTATTTTAAGCAAGACGCTTGAACCTCCTCCACGAGCAGTGAAGAAGTTTGAGGGCCAGATATTGATCTTATATCACAACAGCACGGTTCGTAGCTCACTCGTATCTTTCTTTGCCTTCAAGTACATCATGATGGCGTGTGACCCATAGGATCCTCTTATGTTCCCTACAGATTCAGCCAAACTATCAAGCTATGCTACACGTTGGTAGCGTCAGACAGACAGTAAGTCTTGTCCGGCTTCTCATACATCATCTTTCCGCATCTATCAACTTTGATGATGAATGATTGACAATTGCTACTCAGGTAAGAATCCTTGACATCGAAAAGAGTAAGGTCTTAAGAACTGGTGACCGGGCTCAAGTCAGTTTTGAATTCATGAACAATCCCGAGTTTGTGAAGAAAGGACAAAAACTTTTGTTTCGCGAGTTGAGTGAACCTAAAGCTTTTTGGGATTGGAGTTTCTATCTTTTAACTTGTTTTTCTACTCACGTAGGGGTAAGACTAAAGCCTTAGGTGTGATCACGAGCGTTTCTGGTTGATACTGAGCTTCTCTGGACTATTGGTGGAATATATGGTTGGACAAGGCTATGTTAGTGGTGTGATGAAGTTTCGTACCTTGTGTGGCTCTGTTGTCTTTTTTTGGTCAAGTGACCATGCAAGTCAAGAAGACAAAAAAGGATGTAATTTGTATTCTCGAGTCCAAGTTGATGTGAAATATTATGTTGTATGTTGATAGTCTATCCAAAAGTTCAAAGCATGTTATTTATATGGAAAGCATGATGTATTGACCCATCATCTTTGACCTTGATACTCAATCCATAGAAAGTGATACATTTTAGGTCCTTTGATGTATACCATCTCCCAGTGTTGAGAACTGTCAACTGGTAAGGTTTTTGCGACACAAAACCTCCAGGTATTGACAAAAATATTTGAAGACTGACAAAACAAAAACCACACCTATCACTCAAGTTTCAAGAGTGTAATACAGTCTAACCCGCGCTAATGCATAATTTGGGGAGACTCACTTTCCTATGCAATTAGACGGGTTATGCTTTTTGACCTACACCCCCAAAATGCATAAAAATATGCATTTAGATTTTGGGGTGTATTGCATAGAATTATGCATTAGTACGGTTATTGTATTGCCCCACCCATATGGGACAAGAGAGGGTGAAGGTGGCAAAACTTCAGTAAGAAAGTTTTCAATTTTGAGGACATTTGTTGTCTATTTAGTACGATATGTACAGAAAGAAACAAAAACAATTGTTTTCAAGAACATGGTTTATCGAATACAATGTGTTACAAAAAGCAGTCAACAAACAATAACTTTTGAGGACTTGTGCTTATTTGGTACGACATGTAGAAAAAGAAAGAAATTGAAGTATTTTTGAAGGTAATTTCTAGGTGGAGATCGATCAATAATCAAGTGTTAGATATAGTCACACGTTGGAAGAAATCAGTTATTGCCACTTGTTTTTTGTTACCAAAAAAACTCGGACTCAAGCATCTCGGCATACTTCTGCAAAGAGTTGTCCAATTTGAGACCAGAAGCTGTACCAGTGCCCTCTATGTGTGCTAATTCCTTGTTTTCAGTAGCAGACATGATGAAGAAAGATGCAAAGTGATCTAAGGGAGCTGAAGATTGTGTGAGGTGGGTGATATCACTTCACTGATCATTCCAAAGCACAACTGCTGTTGCTT